ACAGAACTGATTACGTCACATGCAGTGTCGGCAATGGCAGAAGGTGGAATTTAAACGGTTAATATCAGAAAACTTGTAAATTCTTTGGGCAATAATATTGCTGGATTCCTGGATGACACCATTTCTTGTTCAAAAACACTGCCAACCCATCTAATTTTAAATTTCCTCTGTTCTTTAAATCTGCTCTGTCTGTCGTTTGGTCAGAAATCCTGGCAGAGAGATACTGGAGTTTAAGATATGATCCTGTAGCCATGTTATAGTTAAACAAATAATGCTGCACTACCGATTTTCTGGTTGGGTTCACGCTAGGACTGGGAGTTCTTCTAACTTGTTTCCTAAAGATCTGTTATTGCGCATGATGATTGATGGAAGAGATTAGAAATACATTTCTTGTTCCTCTTTTGTCTCCTATCTCCTACTCTGCATTCCTGGCAATTCCTTTTCAACTCAGCAGGTATATGCAGAAGTAGTTGTATAATTTCAGCTTTAGAGATGTTATATAGCTGCTCCCTGGTGTAAAAAAGAAATAAACTTGCCATAATTGCTGTGGTTACGCGTAATAACAAATATCCAAAAAAGGGAAAATTATCATTAGAAATCCTTCCAGTTCTAGAGCATTCAAGGCAAGCAGAAAAAAATATCAGAAAAAAGAAACACTGACCCACTAAAGGAGAAACTAAAGTTCTTGTAAAAAAAAAAAAATCTCAGACTCAGAAGCTAGCAGTGCAACTCCAACGTACAGCCGCCTTAAGCAACACAATTCTAAAAATTAGAAATTAAATCATTATAACGACCCAAAACACACCTGCAAGATGGCTACTTTGTTAATTTGCCGCTGGATGTTAATATAAAACTAGTATAAATAAGATGATAACTACAGATGTTTTTTAATATCAGCAATCCAACCTGAGTGGGACAGATCGCACTGGATCAAAAATAATTAATTCTCTAAATCTGAATAGTGTAAAAACCCTCTTTCAGACAAACAAGGAGAAAAAAATATATACATAATTGCTCAGAATTTTTAAAGAAAGTATTTCATTTTGGCTTTGTTTGTAAAAACATGTGACTCAGGCTGCCATGTGTTGCATGCAGTAATTCAATTGAAAATTAAAAAAAAAACTATGTTGTTTTCCCCTACGATAAAACCTCTTTGAAATAATAAATATGCACACATATGTCATTTAAAGACAAGTCAAAAGTACATGATTTGACTGAAAGCTGAAACGGAACCAAATCCTCAACAAAACATCTCAGAAAATCTTGGTGATGGCAGCATCATCCTGTGGGGATGCTCTTTCTCAGCAGGAAAATAAGTTTATCCTAGTTTCATGTAAGCTAGAATGTATTGATACTTTAGGTTCCTTTTGTTTGCTTTGTATGCTCAGCTTGCTCTTACCATGTTTCTGCTGTGCAAAGTTGTACTGCTGCATCCTGAAGGCGGTGAACTCATAGGACGACACGGCAGGAAGGGCAGAGCCATGAAGGCGCTGCACATAGAGCACCAGCAAAACAACAGCGCTGCCCAACAACATCATGCCTTGCCTAACTGGGATGGTTGTCTGCAACGGTTGGTTAATGACAACATTTACACAATGATAGACCACAGATAATAAATATAGATATTAAATGTTTGTGTTGATTAGTGGAGGTCTTGTCTAAAAGCGATATAGATATACCTTTACAGGTGCATCATATATTTAGTAAACTGCATATTCTACCTGAATAAACTGAAGAGCATTGCTTACCTTACTCCTTACAATATTCTTTCATGAGCTGTGCTTCTCAGACCGCTTTAAAGCTACAATGTGGCTACAGACTCTGGTTAACTCCTTGGATTCAGGGTATGTAGGTAAGCCACCATTCACCATCTGCTCCCTGGGGATCAACTCCAGGCTAATCATAAGTGCCCAACCCCCAGTGTCATTAACTCAATACAATACTAGTTAGACGTGTACATATATTCACCATCTGTTCAAATGTTAAAAAAATAAAAATCATTAGAACTGTCTTAGTATTTCATGTGATTATCATCACTATTTTTTAAGTGCTTTGCCTGTCATCAAGTTAAGTGAAAATACAAAAACTGTAGGTTCTGAGAGGTTCTAGAGGATGTGGAAGTGTTAAAACTGACCTTATGTGGAATTGGTAAATGAAATGAATAAAGTAACTTTAGCAAAAATAAATGTAAAGTGCATATTTTTATTTAAGGAATTCCAAATTAATATTTAAGATAACAGAAAGCAGATGCATGATTTTTGGAAAAATCAAGCGTTTTCTTACTAAAAATGTATTTTTAACCAGACTTGGAACTTTCCAAAATTACTTCTGAATTACTTCACTTCCAAACGACAAAGCAGATTTAAAGATAAGTGGAAATTTCAAATTAGAAGGGAAGCAGTTGGCTGCCAATTTGCAGGATGATCTTAAGCTTTATCTGCAGTTTGTTAAGGAACATGTATGTAAATCATAGTGGGGGCAGTTTCATGTAAATCAAGAATGTCAAAATATTGTCAGAGTTAAAGAAAATCAAGATTAAACTCCAAATCTTGTCCAAGTTTCTATCACCAACAGCATAAAATATGAGATGAAAACTTCAGTCGCCATCTTGTTTTTGTCAGACATTTGCCTGTCTTTCTATCCTGGGGAGAAAACCCTGAAAATGTCTTTGAGAGGATTAAAAAAATAACAATTGTATTTCACCTTTTGCAAAGACTCTGCAATACATGAAAAATGTGGAAAACACACGGGATATGGAGATATCCATTATTTATTGTCTGACATGTTGCACTATACACAGAACTGTAACACTGTTCAAATCTACATGGAGCCGGTTCACAATCGTCTTGACAAGCATCTGACAGATGAAAAGCGCCTGCTTCTATTGAAACTAACTCCAACCAGTCAAAGTAAAGGAAAAACACCCAGTTGCATGTAAGTAGCTTGTGTTACAACTCATCTATTAGACCTAAACAGGCAGTAAAGTACTGCGCTTAGCGGGAGACACCTATCAAATTATGCATGAAAATCCAGTGAAATAAAGATGTTGACAGAAAAGAAGAGTTGATAGAGCACCCCCCACCCACCCTTTTATTTGTAAAGAGCCCAAAAATACATTAATCTTTTATTGCAGAAGCATAGTTTTGAATTGGAAAAAAGAGCGTCATTGAGTAGAGTATTGAATTATGAGAAATAATTGAAGTATACTTTAAATTGGAGTGTCTTGAAACTTTTGTTAGTTTTCTTTACCTGCTCTTTAATTATCAAATATATTTACCTTTAAAATGTAATAGAAACGAAAGTTTGCCATTTCAAAATAACAAATATGTGTTAATCATTAAAAAGCGAATACATTTCTACAATAAAATAGCCTCTAGCTTACTTTTACCAGCAAACATTAAAAACGTAAAATAAATAAATAACCTGGAACTGATGCAAACAGGGCTGCTTGATGTCACAAATAATTAGTGATATACTGCTATAAAAATTAGAGTTAATATTAATATCATCTAAATTTATAGATATATATATATATTGTGTAATTTTTTTCCTCCCTTTTTGACGAATACCACAAGGCAAACACCTGAAAATGAATCCTTAACGGGCTCTTGTAGATTTTGGAATTTATTCCTCTGCAATAAATAAAAAAAAATAATTATTTAAAAGCTTTCTACGCACTTTTTCCAGGGAGGGTGCTGTGGTCAAAGAAACGATCTGTCTCCCTCACTGCTTTTGTTATTTCTAGCTAACAATCCTAAAACTAATCTCTATCTGTAAGATCCTGAGAAAACAAAACACAAAAAAACATTGGCATGGTTTATGTAAACTAAGATCAACAGGAGGAAAAAGTTACATAAAAAAAAAAAAAAAACATTTGATCTATTTTACATTATACCCATACAGTACCATAACTTAAAGTGTTTAGATATGTACAGTACACACAATCTCCTTTCAGTGAGTCAGTGACTTTAGTTCTGCTTTTGTTTCTACCAATCTTCCTTTACACAGATTTTCTGAATTAGTGTAAAACTCTGAAAAAAAAAAAAAAAAAAAAAACTTGGAACAGCAATAGAATATACAGTTTTAAACTTTCAGAAGTTTAAAAAACAGAAAAATTTGCTTTGATTCCAATGTCTACAATCTCTTCCTTTAGTTTACTTTCCATCTACATGTTTGGATCCTATAGGGTAAATTCTGCAGGGTGCCTTGACAGATGATACAGAGAACTGTGAAGGTCAGTAAGATTCAAACAAATAAAATCATTTTAAACGACATGAAGGACTGCTTATTGAGATTCACAACCAATAGGAGAGAATGTAGGACAAACACACAGCTCTTCTAGTGCTAAATGTAAAACCTTTTTCCAGAAAATGCACCTTACACAATTATTGGCATCCCTAGTTAAAATATGTATAAAAGTCATGAAATATATTTTTTTTGTCTGTTACTCTAAGATAACCTTTTTTCTACGGTAAGCGTTGCCCTTTAAAAATGTAAAATTTTCTATCCAGTATCTTTAGTTTTACCACTAATGCCACTGTGGAATTTCAGGTTTTCTTGAGTTGCTCAATTTGAAGAACGATTGGTAGGAACAGGCCTGCGTCATATTTATGCTCAAGGGGAAACATGAAGCCAAGTTTCAAATGAAAACTTCCTTGATAGAATTTGATCACAGGAATACAGAAAAACAAAGGGAGCAGCTGTTTACTTTAGAGATTTCTTGGTTTTTGTGTGTTGTTTGAGGAGTAATTAAGACACACAGGACTCATAAGGTCCTGGGCTTTCATACTCGCTTTCCAGTCTTTCTGTAGGAGTTTTTTGATCTCTCTGTGCATGCTTGGGTTCCCACCGGGGTACTCAAACATCCAACAGCATGCTTGTGAAGGAAGGTAGTCTCTCCATACTGTACACCTAGTATGATTTGTTCATGCACGGCTCCTGCTTAATAGCTTCTAGAGATAAACAAATGGATCAGTTGTGATTTCATTTGATAGACAATCTTTTTTTTTTACATCTTTATCAGGAGGATTAATTATAACTATGGGGCATCAGCTCAAGAACATTCCTTGTATCAAAACTAAGACATTTCTAAGCTTTACCTTCACTAATTTGCCTTATTTTATAGGTTCTACAATAAAAACGTTGATGTTTCATGAATAACTACACAATGTGCAGTGACTCAGCAGCTCATTATGTTTTTTTCCCCCTCTACGTGTATTAAAATGGCAGTAGGTGAACCTAAATATGACCGATGTTCCATTTTACAAAGTACGGTATCTTTCTTTAGTATGGGGGGTTGGCTGTAGGTCAGTAGGATAAAAATAAATATCGGCACATCTGTCATCTGGACACAGTGTTAACAGGCAACATGCATTTTTTTTAGCTTCTTATAACTAAACATAAAACAAATATAACCAGGATAATCTCAGTATAACACAGATTGGCGCTTGATGTGAAGAGGGTGACCAGTCGTGTTTCATTCGCACTGTTCTCCTGGCATGGCCGGACTCACTCACATTGTTTTGGAGTCTGATGCTGATATCAAGAGGGAAGACGAAGCAGAGCAGCTGAAAGAATTCAGGGAATTGGAAATAAAATGGCCTTGTTCAAACTACAGTCATTATAATGGATGGTAAATTATACCCCAGGAGACAAAGTGGGGTGCTTGGACAGCCCACTGACACAGTAATGATGACAAAAAGTCATTTGGCTGAAACTTTCTCCTCCATTCAGGTCGTTTCTCCTCTTTTGCGACATTGCACAAACCGTTTATGCAAAACAAAAACTCCCTAAGCATAAACTCAAACGGAGAAGCAAAAGCAGCGCTGTTTTCTTCGAGGTAAGGTCTCTGACACACGTTGAATCCATCCTTGCTGAACCAACACTGCAGACGTAAGACACAGATCCTGCCATAGGAGGAACATGCACAGGTGCTGCACATATTCAGTTTCTCATCCTCTTTTGCCTGTTTTCAAGTCAATCTTTATTTTCTCCTCGATGCCATTCTGTTCAGCAGCTGGCAAAAAGAAACATCTGGGGATGAAGGAGGAGCGGGGTAGCTACTGGATCTGACAGGCAGTGGAGGAAGCAGCCTGACAGCACATGCAGGTGGGGTTGACTGCTTTGGGGGGGATCAGATCCAGGTCCTCGTCGTCTGGGATCTCGTCAAGCCGGTACCCGTCCTTCAGGAGCTGGATGTTCAAATCCTGGTTAATTTGCTGCAAGAAATGGCAGATAAATAATAATCATACCGGCTGGTTTTATCAAATGCACTATCTAGTAACTTTATTAACTACTTACTCTGCTGACCCTACAACAGAAATTTTAATAAGCAGCAAACAAATCAAGATCAGGATCAATCAAAAACAATAGCAAAAGATATACTATTGCATTTAGAAATGGGGTAATGTGCAATGGAGAAGTTTACACAACATTTAAATTGACCAAAATGTTTTCTGACTAGAAAGCCTCCTAATGGCTGAGCATAATATTATTATTATTTTCATCACTTTAGCAATGTGAGTAATGTCTTTTCTGTGCGGTGTGAACATCTGCTGCCTTGAGACTAAACATAAGCTTATCATGCATATTGTAATATACCTACCACATATCTAAGAAAATACAAACAAAATAGAAAAAAATGTATACTGCAAAATAAAAGGAAATTCTACAAATTTTGTTCACTAATACCAACCACCTCATTTTTATGATGCTCAAATAGTTTAATTCTTAAAAAAATATATACCGTATATATTTTACAATTTTTACTTTTTATTGCCATTCAGACTTTCATTGTTGATGAGCTGAAACAAATTAAAGGTATGTATGCACCTTCACTCTACTTTTCATGTGAATAAGTCAGCAAAAAGTTGAATCTTTTAATTTATAAGAGACAAAAACAGTTTTTTTGTGTTTTTCTATGCAAGAGAAACAGGTTCTGCTTCAACCTACCACTTTCTGATCCCTGGATTTATGTTTAATCAATAGATATTTCCTATCTAAGGCAAATGAATGTAGCAAATTACGTGGAATAAAAGCAGTGACATTGGGTCAAACAATCACGGTGATGAGTGGAAACTAAAGGCTAAAACCAGAATATGTGCTACGTGAAGAAAACAAATGAATGATTTAAAGGGATGACAACCATGGACAAGTAGAGACGGTTGAGTGAATAAGCGCACATCGACCTGGTGTGACAGAGGAGGAAGAGGGTGATCACATGGCGATGGTTGTGGTTTTGCCAGAAGGCTCTGTGAAACAAAATAATATTTGTATAAATACCTGGTCCCTCAGACATCTCACCTCGGCTGAGGAGTATCCTGATGAAGAGTATCTGGACATGTCGAAGTCATCGTCACTGAAAGACAGGAAACACCTGGAGTTAGACTAAAGACAAATAAAGATACCTTAAGAGGAATTATTACATGACAAAAATAGTATTTTTCTACTAAGGTGGTGTTCTTAGGAGAGTAAAAATAAACTCCAGAAATAAACATTTGATGCTTCTTACAACCGCAAATCTGTTAATGATCTTTCAATCACTGTCACGGTTACTGCAGCAGTAGGTAGACCAGAAAAAGGTTCCTGTTGACCTCACAGCTTCATAACAACAGAAGCAACTAGAAATTGCAGACGCATCAGATAACAATGCAGATGCACACATTTGAGTTGGTGCAGAAATAAATGAATTAAAAGAGCCCAAAGTTTGGGGCGGAGGGCTGTTCACCTCGACAAGCCTGTTCCATCCTTGGGTAAAGGTGCCTCAAGCAGCATGAGTGGAAAAGTAGAGGGGTTTTCTTTCCCAGTGATTTACACATTTTGGTGCAAGATTATGTTCAAGTCCAGAATAAATACAAAATATGTTGTTAAGATGGTGTATACAGCTGATAAACGGGTGATCATTGTGGATATTTAAGGGAGTTCCAGTGCTACATGCACTGAACAGCCATTCAGCAAGGAAGAAGGCATTACTTTGGGAACACATAATGAAACTAGATGAGATTTTAACAGTGCACAAAACAAAATTTTGGAAGCATGTCCTGTAGAACGATGTAGCTAAAATTGAAAAGTTAAGGCTGATTTATACTCAGAAAGCAGGTCGTCTGTGTGTGTGTCGCAGTAAACGCAGATATGCCCCGCCCCTGCCGCAGACTGCTGCACCTCTCCGAAATTGTAGGTGACCTCAGACAGGAGGCATCTGATTGGTCAAATCTACATTCGCCCTTCTCTATGCGTATTTCCTGTTTGGTACCTTACCAGCTTGTTTTGTTTGTATGACCGCCATTGTGGAAAACGACTCATGAAGATGGACCAGCTAGAAGAGCGAGGTGCGCAAGAACGCTGGGACCCTTTTTTGCACCTCGATCCCCGCTCTTTTCCCCCCTCATGTCCCTCAGTTGTCGCATTAACTTGCCTCTCGCGTTTTTCCACTTCCTCACAGCTAGATTGCGATTGTCCCTCTTGCGTTGTGGCGTGGAATAACATAGCCCAGACCACGCTTCACACTGGGCATAAAACAAACGACACACTGCTGTGGGAGTATAACCAGCCCTTAAGTCCGTAACGATCTTTGTTTAGTTAAACAGAAAAAAAATCGGAAATAAGTACAAAAAAATATCATCATGAGGAAAGAACACCTTGTATAAAAAGGTTGAAGCAACATCTGAAAACATCGACCAGGCTCCTAATGACAAACTTGATTTAGAAAATACTTGATGATTTGGAGTGGACATCAAAAGTCGAGATCTGTATGTGTATTATGAATGACACAAACAACATGACATCTCAGGGGAACTGTGTAACAACACAGTTCCCCTGAGATGTCACATATGCGATTTTACTCTGTCACTAACCGGCATGATGGCAGACAATCACTTAAAAAAAGGTGGAGTACAACAAAAAAAATGCAGATGGTTCAGCAAATGGCAGTTTTCACTGCATCTCTGACAATCAGACAACAGGAAGGACCAGAAACGGAAGAATGGAGTGATTAACGGCAGCCAGTCCTGGTCGTTAGTGTTGGTAATGTCGTCCGTCTCTGCAGGTTATGAGGAGCATGTTGTTGTAATTACTTCCTCTGCCAGTCACCAGAACTTCCTTATTCACATGAAAGTCCTGGCATCTTTTACAAAGCTGTTAAAACACTGATTATAGGTATCCTTTGATTTCAGACTGGGACGCCCCTCTACTGTGTCTCAGCGTTGTTCACTAAATAATTACCTGGTTCATAAGATATTGGAGGCAGTTTGTCTCCCACATTTTTCTTTTCCCACATTTCAACATTTCTATTCATTTTACAAATCAATCCTAACAGCAGATGTAGATTGTTTTTTTTTTTATATGTATGTTTTTTTGCAAACTTATGAGCAAGTTTTCCATCAGGAAGCCATGAGGAACGTAGTTGCCCAGTGCTGCATTGTTGCCCACCAATATGCCACGTGGCACACTTCCAATCTTAGAAGTGTGAATACTATGCATCACAATACATTTCTGCAATCTAGGGCTGCAGGTTTTGTCACTATTTTTTATAGTGACAAATAGAGATAATCTGTAAGAGGTTAGAAAAAAAACTGACCATCAAACCATCAGTTTCATTGGTAGGAAAAGCGCAACTCTGTCAAAATAGCACATTTTCATAGCGCTAACTTGAGGTCCTTAGAAAGATGAGCTTCAACATTAATGCCCAAATAAACGAGTAAATATGTTTAAAAACAAAGTTTCTGCAGCCGTTATGCTGTTTACATTCAGAAAAGGGGCCAAATTTCAGCTCTCTTTGACAACATTCAGCAAAACGAGCCACTGTAGTGAAATGTGTGGATGAGAACTTTGGCATGCTTGCTAAATGCCTTCAACTATGCATAAGCCTTTCTTTTTCTTTAGCAGTGTTGGAAAGGGATCTGTCTAAAAGTTGCAGGATTGTCATTTTCATAGCCTGTACTTTAGCACTCCTGTTATGCAACATAGATCCTTACCTAAAATCAGGTATTTCCTAAAGGCTGCTCGGATTTCCAATTTCAGATTATTTTAATGCAAAATTAAATTGAGTGTTAAAAAAAAAATGAAACAGACCAACCACCCTTCTTGTTATCCTCTTAAAATCCCGCTCTCTGTCCTCAAAAGCCTGAATTAAAAACCTGTCTCAGAGAATATAGTCTCTTTCTCTGCCTGTACTTCTGAAAATCAACTAGTACCATTTACGTGAGACTTATGAGACTCTGAGGGGGTAATTTGAGTAGTTTCAGTAACTTGGTAGTGTTTACATATGATGTCTTCACTGACTGGAAAAGACTGATATTTTGCCACCAGCTTATAATCAATTACTATAAATCAAAGTAACAATCTTCAGATTCTGGTAAACTGGTCATTTCATTGTGTTTTTCTGAGGCAAACACATTTTGGTGAGGCAAATAGATCCCAATTTAGAGATAGAAGCAAAATAATACCAGAAAGAAACAATAAATGTAAAACATCAGCTCAACATGCAGATATAAAATGAGGGAACAATCCTAAAAGATAGAGAAATGCAAAAATAAAGGAAAAACAAAGCCGCTGAAGCTGCTTTTGTCAGAGTACGTCCGAATTGGTCTTTTTTTTTTCTCCATTAACAACAAATATGTCTACGCATGTATTTGTAAAATGGTAATAAAGTGGGTTGAGTTGTGAGTGAGGGTCCACAAATGATTGGACTTATCTGGCAAAAACACAGATCTAATGGTACAAGGGGAGAAGAAAGAGCGCTTATTGAGCAGCTTTTAGCATCCAAACCCTCACACAGCTGCTCTGAGAGAAGGCTAGCCCACTACTTTTAGGATCATATGTATTAAGCTCGCTGTTAAGCTGCTCCATGGATTAATACACAAACAAAGAGAGATATCTGCAACAACTCGCTGGTGTCTCCTTTGAGGTATCAACCAATACATTATAACGTGATTTGTCTGGCTGTGTAGGATAATGTAGAGAGTTTACCTGTCAGTGTCCAGTGCAACCAGCGGCTTCTCATCCGGGCTCTGGTCTAAAGAGGAGTAACCTTTGTTTGGCACCACCAACCTTGAAAAGAGCAGAGCAATGTCCTTCATCAGAAGCCAAGATTTGAAAACACAGAGAAACCACTGTGAGCTCTGTAAAGAATTACAACGTCACAGAACTAAAAGAAAGCAGCTCTATTTGTGTATGAGATTATGTTTTCCTAATATTAATTGGTAGCATTCAGGCTGCAGAAAGTGCAAAATTATCATTCAGAGTCAGACATTCTTGGTTCAGACCATTGGGCAGCATTTCTTATTTCCCCACTAATCCCCAAGAGAGAAGGATTAAGTACATGAGCCACTTGTCAAGCCCGCAGGATGTGCTGGGGTTATGCTTGGTGGGTTTGCCTCCTTCATCATTCTCACAATACATGGCTTTTCTTTTTCAAAGCCTTGCAGGGTCCTGATTGCACTGGTTGCAGTGCTGTTTTCATCAACGATGATGAAATGATTTCGTCCACACTCCTTTTTCCATGACGATAATCAGAACTGATGAGCTAAACTTGGATCTTTGATGACGAGAACACAAGGAGTCATGGGTGTGAGTTTTCGTTGACGGGACTGGATAAAAACGTTAGCAGGTTGTCTGTCAGACGTTTAAAATGCATCATCGTGCTGTAATCTGCTAAGCAGTATCAGCCGTGCTGCTGCGTTTTGTTTGGTCATGCTGCCCCCCTGGCTTGCAGCGGTTCACATTCTGAATGACCACGGATGGATCATGGCAGCAGCGGCAGGGGAGAAAATAACCTGGAATGGTCCGGTACTGCAGGCTGAACTCTGACAAACTGCGATTCCAGCTAAGCTCGTGCAGAAATGCGTCTTTTCATGTGGCTAGCCCAGAGTCTGTGCTTCACGCTCCACACTGATGGTTTGCTCTCAGCAGTATGGCTCTTCCTGCCCTCGTTACTTAACTATATGTGGCTGACCATCCTCTGCCAAGTGTAAAAAATCCCTTTGTCTAACAACCAAGTTTTTCTTTCTTCTAGCGCAAAATGATGCAAAACCTTTATTTTCTACCAGTAGGAATCCCTAAATTATATCTAAAACAAATATTTCATTGCATACTGTTTATTTTTTTATTAAGACCCAGATGAAACTGTACATAGAGCGTTAAATATTTCTCATAGTTATTGCTTCTACGATTCAAATATGATGTAAATGTTTCCTTGTATTGTCATTAAAACATTTTCTCTGTTTCCTTGGAATATTTCAACATCTTTGTTCACATATTCTTAAAATTTAAGTCTGGATTACCATGACATTACAAGGCAATTATGTAGGATTTCCTATGAATAAATCTGCTTTGACACCTGAACAGCGGCAACCAAGGGCCAAATTCTTAGAAATAAAGCCGAAATTGCCAAAGTAGAAAGAAACATTTTTTGTTCTTTGCTTTTTTAGAGTGATGAAGATTTTATTGATATGTGTGTAATGCATAAATTATATTAGATCAGGAAGTATGTCTGCTATTTTAACTAATATGGTGTGTTGAACTAGACCTACTATTTTCACAAATTTTGTGAGACACATCTGTTGAAAGTAGGGCATTTATTGATAAAAAAAAAAGTTTATTTGAATTCTATAAAATAAAGTTTCTGCCCAAATGCAATGATGAACTGCATGGCATCATTGTATCTCCAGCAACTGTATTATCTAGGCAAGAGCTGTCAGTCTGTGAAAGAATCTGGTTGTTATTAGAAATTAAAAAGGTTAGCGTTATATAAAGTGCAACATAAAACTGACTAAAACCTTTTTGAGTTTTAATCGACTAAAACTGGACTAAAACTATCACATACAGTAATGACTAAAATGTGACTAAAACTAATAATAGTTTTCATCCTGAAGATGAAAACTGAGACTAAATCTAAGATGGCTGTCAATCTAATGGTGTCTCCCTGGCTTACTAGAAGCAGCTAATGCCTACGAAGCAGGATGCACTGTTGTCAGTGATTTGCATTTCAGTTGGTTGCAGTATTTTGCACCCACTGCTCAGCATATGAATAAACTGGTGAAAGTTAGAGCAGAACAATAAGCAGGAGGAAGTTCCTACCTTGTCCTGGCGTTCTTCTTGGGTTGCTGATTGACAGGACTTCCCACAGTGCCGTTCTTCACTGAGGCCTTCCTGGCAAGGTCTCTCTGTTTCTCTGGGCAACAAAGGATGTGAATTTATCTGTAAATAAACCAGCTCAGCTGGACGCACTTTCTAGAATTTTATAGTTTGTGGTTAATTTTGCTTACATCTAAATATGGAGTCTGAGATAAAGGGTCGCAGGTAATTTAAGCTTTAAATTGAGGCTGCTTTAAAATAATTTTTAATTTATCCAATAGACCATAGTTACCTTACAGTCATATGACGCATAACCTAAATGATTTAAAGTTACTGTTGTAACTCCAATAACTCTTGTATTGCATTAAATCATCTTGATTTTTAAAGTGTAGGTAAAGAACCAACATCTAACAGTGCTGTAGAAGTCAAGCTGAAGCTTTTTTTTTAGATTTCTAAACCTGAACATAGTGTATCTGGATACATACAATGCCTTAGAAGAGTATTCATACCATTTGGATTTTTCTATATTATCTTATATTAAAATTAAAAAAATTGTATTTTACGCTGATTTTATTGTGAAAGACCAAATGAAAGGGAAACAATGTGACATGGAATTAGTTACCTTCAAAAGCACCAACAAGGTGGGTAATCCTGTCTGTAATTTGATCCCAGCATAAATCCAGCTTTCCTATTCTTAGACAAAGCACTGGTCATCTACAAAGATAATGCAGTCCATGTAAACTGACAGGTCAGGCACGTGAAGGGTGGATTTTTAAAATCTGCAAAGAGGACCGTGGTAACTCTGGAGGAGCTGCCGAGATCCCCAGATCACAGGGAGGATCTGTTGACATTAAAACTGTTTGCTTTTGAAAAGAAATGGCAGGAATGAAACCTTTGTTTAAGGAAAACCATAGGAAATCCCATTTGAGGCTTTCTGCAAGCCATTTGGGGAACAACAGTACAAGCTGTTTGTCATTAGTTTGGCGTGGTCTGCTTTAAAGAGATAGCCCCTTTTTCCTTGCACTTATAACAAGGCAATAAAAAATACATTCAAGCCCATTTCTGATGGCTGCTCAAGTCTTTATAAATGCCATTTCAGTGTCAGAAACACTGTTACACCTCTGCAGAAAAAGATGAACTAATATTATCCAACAAATATCACCTGACTCTAATGCTCTCTTCACTTCTGCTGATCCTGCTTTGAGCAGTAATGCAACCCTGGATGCTGTGCTGGTCCATTACTATTCTTTGGCACATAACTCATTGGTTTGTTAAATGCCACCCATTCACTGCAGCTACTTATTTATGACCCTGTGATATTAAGTGCAGAGTAATTTCATCAGATGATTTGAGGGAGTCAGTGAGTGACAATACCTATCTGGACCTGCAGTGGGGAGGGCTTGTAGTTCATGGCCACATTCTCTCCTTTAGGGTCAGATGCTGCCTCTAAAGTGGACGATGCTGCTGGGTCCTAGAACAGCACAAAAACAATGCAAGTTAGCTATGAACATGGAGACCTTTGAAACAGGTAGAGTATCCTCAATACAATAGCAAAGTACCATTTTCCCTTTGGGTATAGTTTTGGTAAATTTTGAAAATAAAAAAAACAGAAATCTCTTTAGACTCTATTTTCCCAGTGCTTTGGTCAATACCTGAGGTAGAGCTTTTTAACTCTGCCCAAGATTGTATTTTTGTTCGGTTTATTTTAAACTGGTATAAATATGCATTTATTCAGAAATATTATGGAGCCAGCAATCTTACTAAAGTGGCAGTTGTACCTTTGCTTACAGCGGCTCCTTAATGGCACTGTTGTTTTCTTTAATACTGAAATACTCCAAGTAGTCATGAATTGTGTGAAGTGACATTGGTTATTGGTCATGTCCGAGCATTCAGTTCATCAGTGAAAATCTAAGCTAGACAAAGTCTATACAAACCTCCACAATATTTAAACAGGTTTTACATTGTTCTAACTGTCCCAGTCACATGGTTTTGAAGACATTTGGTGCATGGATAGGTTTTGAGTTAACAACTAATTTTTCACTGAAATCTGATTCATCACAAGCCTTAACAGCCAGGGCAAACAGCCTCCTTCAGGACCTGTTTGTGTCTCTACTTCAGCTTTGGCTGCAGCATCAATAGGCATGAGTGTTCCGTCTGCGCTGGTGGCTTGGTCTCTTTTGTGCATAAACGAGCGGTGATGACGTGTCGAGGCACCCATGTGAAGAAACAGAGGGGGCTGCTGTTGGAGCCATAGCTTCCCCAGACTGAGAAAGGAGGAGCGGAGCTTTCCTTGGCCTGCTTCATTCACAGAGAGCTGCATTATGGCAATTCCACAGGCATCTCCTTGTTCCACTCTGGGGAACTTCACATGAGTTCTGGCTGGTAGGCAGCTGAAAAAGGAAACCTATGATTTTGGATTTAGAAATTTAAAAAAATCTATACAAATCCTTGATATCGCTTGTTTAATTAAACACACCCAGCCTCTAACAGCCTCAATATTAAGTCAATAAACCATTCATTCAACTGGAAATGCTGCCCCAACTAAGGCTATTAGCAGAAAACAACAGAGGTTACTGAGCCTCATGAGGCTTGATGAAAAATTCATGAGACATTTAGCTGAAATTGTGAAGAGCTTATTCCACGTATGAATCTTAATGTTTAGATTAAAAAAAAAAAAAACACACATAAAACAGTTTTATGGCACATTAGAGTTTATATTTGCAGCATCAAAACAGAAGACTCGATCAGAGCACAAACAACATACGATAACAGACGTCGTTTTGACATTAAACATAAATCTCTAATACAACATCCATATGTCCTGGTGACAGTTCTTTGGAGAGGTTAATTCTGTTGAATTAAAACTACTCTAAAATTAATCTCAATGATCAGCATAAAGTGATGCTAACTAGTGAAGTGGAAGTAAATTCATAGTGGGGTTTTTATCATGTTTAACACTACAATAACAGCTAAAAGGAGCAGGAGTCTGGTCAGCATTGCCTGCATAAAGTTTTTCTGGATGTTGGGACATGTTGGACTCTGGTAGGGCTCCCCTCTGTCACAGGTCCTGTTCATAACGTTTATGAACAAGCTTTCTAAGTAAAGCCAAGGTACGGATGGGGTTTTGGTTTAGGTAAGAGGATGTTTAGTCTTTGCTTTTGTGAATGATGTAGTTCTGCTGGCCCCCTATGCCAAGAGTAAAGGCAAACACTTGGACGATTCTCAGCCAAGTGCAAAGCAACCAGAATAAGGATGAGTCCCAGTCCTCCAAGTCGGAGTCCATGGTTCTCTACTGGAAAAAGGGTGGTTTGACCACTTTTAGGTTAGAGCAAACTTCCTGCCTCTAGTGGAGGAGTTTAAGTATCTTGGGTCTTGTTCATGTATGAGGAGAGAATGGAGCAGGACAGTGATGGATGGATAGGTGATGCTACTGCTGCGATGCAGAGGCTGTTCTGGTCCGTTTTGGTGACCCGAGCCAAAAGGTAAAGATCTTCGAATTACTGGTCTACCCTCACCTATGGGCATAAAATCTGGATCCTGACCCAAAGAATGAGATGCAAAAAAACTAAATGAGCTTCCTCCTCAGGGTGCACTCCCATTAAGATAGGGTGAGGAGCTTGGCTATCTGGGAGGGGTTAGGGGTAGAGCTGCTTCTCTTCCACATTCAGAGGAGTCAGCTGAGGTAGTGCCTCTTTGCTGAATGTCCCTAGACGCCTCCCTTACAAGTTGTGCCAGGCATGTCCCACTGGAGGAAGGCTATGGGACTGGGTTTCTCAGCTTGCCCTGCAACACCTTTGCCTAGAGGAGCTGGAAGAGGTATCTCCAAAGAGAGTCGTTTAGGCACCTCTATTGATACTGCTGCCACTGCGACCTGGTCTTTTGCAGTACTTTCATCTCAAGATTGGCATTTCTGGCCATTTTAATAATATGAGAAACATTTTGAAATGTCACTGCAACTTTGTACCTTAACTGAAATTTTATCTCTGCATTTAACCCATCCCTTAGAGACCGGCGGGCTGCTCTAGTGCATTGCAGCATTCTGGGTTTGGTGGTCTGCTCAGGGTAGGAATCAGAGGGATTCAAATCAGGGAAGTTGCAGTCCTTCAAGAACACAAGCCCCATTGTGTAACCACAAGAGCACCACTCCTTTAATGAGTTTCCATGGACATTACGTGCTCCAGTCTTAACTGAATTACAGCTTGACGAGGTCACTGCAACACATGGATAATGTTTGTTTTGTTGTGAACCCTTCCATTTCTCAGGGTCATCTCTTTCCTGCCTTTTCTCAGGTCTTCCTTAGCTCTATTAGGTTTTCTTCAAGTATGGGTCAGCATTTAAAAAATAATGGCATTGTTTCAGCAATGCCTTTCTTCATAAATACTAGATTTGTGGAGTGAATAGCAAAGTGTCCTGTCAACAGATCTTCCTCTTGAATTACTATGAGCCTCTTCTGGTTAGTGCTCTTCCTGCACATCTTGTTAAGGCTAAAACATACTCTGTAATGAACATAGACATTTCCTCTCTTTCTCATGGCTGCAAGAAAAACATTTTGTTCTTGCAGCCATAGGATGATTTTTTTGCTGCTTTTTTGGTGATTATCTGGGCACAACTTTTTTTTCTTTTTTCCCTGAATGATGGCTGCAGATTATGAAGTGGGTGCACTGCTGTGGGAGAGAGCTATAAAGATTTCCCATATGTTTTCCATTTTGGGGGCGTGATGAAATAGGCTATGCTCTGTCAGATGTTTAATGAAGGGATGCTCCAGCTTAAAACTTGTTTACAACTTTCAAAATCTTCATGATGGCAAATTGGAAAATTGTTGGGACAAGAGCTCAAAAGGTAATCAAAAAAACTAATGATGAAAGACAGAATTACACAATCTCTGCGGGAAAAACTATTTCTACTGCGCAACATGGCAATACAGGACTTGATTCAATGGGAGCTATGTACAAGAAAAGAAAAAAACAATTAAATGAAAAACACCTGATTTGTTTTAATGATAGCAGGGACAACATCTGCAAAGAAATCCTGTTATTTGTTAACCTTTTTTTGTTTACTTAAATAAAACCTCAGTTAGTAGAGCCACACCACATAGTCATTGGATGTGTCAATAGTGTAATACTCAAAATAAATAAAGATACTTACATGCAAAATAAATATTTTATTACTATTTAACTAATGAAATGAGATTGCTCCCTGAAAAAGAGACTAAAAAGGTAAACATTAATCTCCTAATCTTCAGAAGTTTTTGTGTCTGAAAAAAGTGAAAACATGTTGGGTAGGGCACAGCAGATCTTCAAACAAGGTGCAAAGTGATTTTGATGTGCAAACCAATTTTTGCGTGTGTACCTAATGTATTCTAATGACCAAACCACGCAAATTCATGGGTGGTGGACATGCTAATATAAATGTTGACCAGATTCAAAGCAATTTTTCAAATCAGAAACTCAACTGCAGCTTTTGTCTTTTTTTAGTACTTCTGAAAGTCCAGTGCAAAACTGACGCAATAATCTCTGCCGTTATTGATGCCACAAAGGAGGTATTGTAACAATGTCGGAGGGTGGTACTCTAGGAACATGTAAACAACTTTGAACTTTTAGAAAAAACAACAGTGGAGAGTCCCTGCCTCAAGCGGAGGAGTTCAAGTATATTGGGGTCTTGTTTACAAGTGAGGGATGGTTGGAGAGTGAGATCGATAGATGGGTGCAGAATTGGCGATGATGTGGTCACTGTATCCGACGGTCGTGGTGAAGAGGAAACTGAGTCAGGGGGGCAAAACTCTCGATTTACTGGTCGTTTACAAAACTACATTCCCATCCTCACCTGTGATCATGAGATCTCGGTAAAGAACAAAAGGACAAGATCGCGAATGCTAGCGGCCAAAATTAGTTTCATTTGCAGGTTGGCCGGGCACACTCTTCAAGATCGGAAAAGGAGCTCAGTTAGCTGGGAGGAGCAAGCTGAGGTGGCTCGGGCATCTGTTTCGGATAACTCCTGGTTGCCTCCCTCAGGAGGTGTTCCAGGAATGTCCTATTTGGAGGAGGCCTCATGAAAGGCCCAGGACACACTGGAGGGACTAGGTCTCTGAGCTGGCCTGGCGTCGCCTCAGGGTCCCCCCAGAGCAGCTGGAGGAGATATGTGGATTGGAAAGTCTAGGCATGTCTGCTTAGACTGCTGCCTCCGTGACCAGGCCGCGGATAATGAATAAATGAATGATGGCAACAAAGAGACATGGGGTAGGGAGGTGATACTCCTTACAAAGGATGTTTTATTTCTCCTTAAATTCAACAGAGCACTTAACACTGGTATGTTTTAGGTATTTGCATCAGTTTTCTCACATTTTATGATTAATCTCTCTAATATATCTAACTTATGGTATTTTACTCATTTTATCTTTTACTTTTGTTCGTAGTACTTAGAGATCGGCTACCTATGTAAAGGGCTCCATAAATAATATTTAGCATTATGAATTGTATTAAGAACATATATCATTTTTACCTCTGTTTACAGAATATATATATATATATATATATATATATATATATATATATATATATATATATATATATATATATATATATATATATATATATATATATATATATATATATATATATATATATATATATATATATATATATATATGCTTTTATGCCTTGATGAGCCTTTAATAATGCTTGAAGTAAGGACTCAAACTTTTGTCCATTCTTTAGTTTTCTATAAAGTCTAGAAACTCCATAATTTTCTAGACTGAATATAAACTCTGTCCTAAATTCAGTTTAAAGGCTCAGCCTTACAAATTAGTTTGTCTGTCACACCTTCAGATGGATGAGTAACCCATGTCACCTTCCTTAATAGCCTCATCTTCATCTGTCACTGACGCTTTGTTCTCTTACACAGGAGTCTTAATGAAAGCTGCAGCTGTATCCATAATACACACAGACTGGTACAAGTTGCGGAATCTCAACACAAAGGCAAATTAATCCCACTGCATGAAGCACGGGCATTTTCTTTCAGATGGCAGCCCTTTGCTCTAGTTGAATAGGCTTACCCATGTGTTGTTGTTGGTTTGATAATACAATAATGATGAAGGATGGAAAAAAAGGAAACCCTTTTTATGCTTTCTTCTCCAAGAGATACCAAGAAATAAATGGGAGCCTGTATTAAATTGATCATGATAAACTGGAATTTCTCCAAAGAATGACTTAAATGAAAATGGAGTCATTTTAGGAACTGCAGCCTAAAAATAAAAAATAAAAATTTCATAAAGGTTTTGAAACAGCATATCAAGCCCAGAATGGGTTCAGCTTTCCTCCATTAGCATCTGCTAAGCAAATATACAACCTGAACTATGCTCATGACTGTAACACCTGGTTTAATCCCTCCTATTTCTGAACCTTATGATGAACACCCTCACCTAAAGCCTAAAGCTCCCTCAAGTTTATATTCATACAATCGTAGAGCCTTGAAAACGTATTTACACTGCTTGAAACCCTTCATATTTTCTCACATTACAACTCCAACCCAAAATATTTTTATTTATTTATTGATTAGATGTAAAAGTTTGGCAGAAAGTAGAATAGTATTGTAAAATAGAGGGAACATTTAAATTTAATTTGGTAAATCCTTTTCAAACAAGAATCTGTAAAGTGTGTGGTCTAATCTCGCTATAAATCCAGCTATTGTACAAAGGCCTCAGAGAATCCCAGCAGTCTGGTTATGGGGAAATCTAAATAATCACAATATTCCAAGACTGACTGTTGGATATCCCGTCATGAAACACGGCGGTGGCATCATCATGCTGTGCAGACAATTTTCTTCATCAGGGACAAAGAGCAGGTTGAAGTTGATGGGAATATGGATCTAAATGCAGAGAATTTACAGAAGAAAAACCCGCTTAAAGCTGTGTTGCAGAGATTCACCTTGACAGGACAAAAACCTCACCTACAGCCAGAGCTAAACTACAACAGTTTTCATCACAGCATTTCAGATCAACCTGGACATATGTTTATAGGAAATCTCTATCCCATCTGACTGAGGTTAAGCGGTTTTGCAAAGAGAAGCCAAAACCATCAGTGGCACTGAATACAGAGAACTGCGATGGATTTGGAAAACAATAAGAAAACAATAAAGCATTTTTCTTCCTATAATGATCATGCAAACTCCTATTGAAGCAAAAAAAAAAAAAAGCTGCAAAAATCTGATAAATACTAAAAGGATATGAATACTTAAAGTACTGTATATCCCTCACATTGATCTGTATGTTGTGCAGTTAACAACTCCTTCCCTTCTTCACATGTTGAAAAGCTATGCGAGGCTGCTGACACAGCATGTAGTCTAAGCAATTGGTAGGATTACACATTGCGGCCGCTCACAGACCAATCCTAGTGAAGGTTGAGACATCAGCTGACCACTGAAACAAATGAACCATCTAACAATGGTAACAAGGCTAGAAATAGTACAATCTGAGTATGAAAGCAGGGCACATGAGCATGAACAATTCTAGCCCTTAGCAGCCATGATTAAGAGTGTTTGTGCTGAATAATGTGTGATTGTTTATAGAAATGGTCTGTTTGTGATTTTATGGTTAACTGAAGAGAAACAAAAAAACAGGGCATGCAATGTTTATAAAGTACTTCACTCAATGTTTTACATAAGAGCTATTTTTATGTGGATTTAGCAGGTGCCAAGAGCATTCATTCAGCTTGGGAAATACAAAGAGATGATTAGCATCAAAATGCATGCCCATGTGTGCCACAGCACCTGCAATCCAGATAAAGTCTGAACATGTAGCTTGAGGGATTGGTTAAAAGGTTTTAAGAGTATTGAGAGGGTCCGATGTTGTTTGAGTCTTCTCTGATTATTTTTAGTGTGTTAAGAGAGGAATCAGATCCTGGATTGACCACAAAACTGGAGGAGAACATCAAAATTAATAACAGAGGAATAATAATATACAAAGATATCTTTCTGTTAATTGTTCTTCAAACTGAAGCTCAAATTACTTTTAACGAGATTTAGATTTAGACAACTTTTAAACTTTTGTTTAGTGCTGCTTTCAGACAGTGCAATGATTATTTCCATTCCATAAAGTGCTGCAGTGCTCAAATGTAAACAGTGTGGTAGAAAACAAGAAAACATGGTGCAAGAAAACACATCGATGTGGAAGTTCAAATAATTAATATATATGGTGCAAATATGCAGTATTTTTGGTTTGGTGTCATCAGTGTGATGCAGTTTGTGACATGATTTAGAATTAGCTGTCTGTTGGGGAAGAAGCTGTTGCAGAAGCTGCTGGCCCTGCATCGAATGCTGTAAAGCCTCTTCCAACAGGGCAGCAGGGAGAACAGCCCATGGTGGGGGTGTGAGGAGTCGCTGATGATGTTATGGCCTCGGGACACGCAGCGCTGGGATGACATGTCTTTTATGGAGGGAAGAGGAGCCCTGATGATCCTGGCTGCTGTTGGTGAGGATGGGTGGGGGCAGGTGGGCTCTCCCCAACCTCTTCAGGAAGTACAAGTGCTTCTGTGCCCTTTTGACCAGTGAGGAGACCTTTACAGTCCAGGTGAGGGTGCCTGTGATTTGCACCCTCAGGAATTTAGTACTACTGACCACCTCTACAGCTGAGCTGTTATTGAGCAGTGGAGCGTGGTTAGGCCGGTTCTTCCTGAAGTCAATGATGATGTCCTTCATCTTCTCCACGTTCAGGATCAAGCTGTTATCTCTGCACCAGTCCACCAGCTGCTCCATCTCATCTCTGTAATCTCTGATGAGGCCCGACACCCCGATGTCATCTGCAAATTTCAGATGTGATTGGCGATGAACCTGGGGACGCAGTTGTGTGTCATTAGGGTGAAAAGCAGGGGGCTCAGGACGCAGCCCTGAGGGGAGCCTGTGCTTAGGATGATGACATTAGAGGTGTTCTGTCCAACCTGGACTGACTGAGGTCTATTGGTGAGGAAGTCTAGCAGCCCATTGCAGAGGGGTGTATTAAGGCCCAACTGTTCCAGTTTGCCTATCAGGTGCTGTGGGATGATGGTGTTGAAAGTTAAACTAAAGTCTAGGAACAGCATCCGCACGTGAGTGTTCTTCTCCTCTATGTGTGTTAGGCTCAGAAGAAAAGCAGAGGAGATGGCGTCCTCAGTGGAGCGGTTCCGTTGTAGGCGAACTGGAATGGGTTGAATGTTAGCGGCAGACTGGAGATGTGTTCTTTAACCACCCTTTCAAAGCACTTCATCATGACAGGAGTCAGTGTGACAGGCCGATAGTCATTGAGTGAGGTGACCTGAGGCTTCCCTGGAACCGGAATGATGGAGGCAGACTTAAAGCATGCTGGCACTATGGACTGGTCCAGCGACATGTTTAAAATGTCTGGACACCAATGAGGACACCAGCCAGCTGACCTGTACACTCCTTGTACACCTGCCCATTTAAATAGAGCTGCAACCAACGAGTATTTTGCAAACCGATGAATTTGTTGATTATTGTTTCAATTAATAATTGGATAGGCAAAGGTTCCTTAAAGAAGATTTTTTACTAAATTAAACCAGGTGAAAATAAAACTTCTCCACATAAGGAGTTCTAGATAGAGCATACTGACAGACGAAATTGTTCATTTCCTTAAATGCACTTAAATATATATATTTATTATCATTTTTTATAATTTTGATATTGTTACTGCTTTAAATAGGTTCTTCTATCAGCTCAGGGCATGTTTTAAAGTCTATACTCCAATAAACGACTTAATTAGTTGAGGGTTTTTTCAATAATCTATTAATCATAATTAATCCGATTAATTGTTTCAGCTCTAGATTTAAATAAATGTAATAATTTTAACAGATATATTTCTTATCATGATAAATGTATTGCAAAAAAAACAAAATCAGAGGCATTTTTAAACAGTTTATAACTATATTAGTGTTTTGGAAAATGGTTTATAAAACAAGAAAATATTAATTTTGCATTAAATCAGCTAACGATCCAAGAATCCACTTTATTACTCTGGTGTGATACCATCACGACCCAAATAGCGCGTCACGCAATGACGCAAAAACACCAAGCTGTGACATCGTTGAGGTAAACACGCGCATATGACGTGGCCTTTCAGGACTCGCGATTTTGAGTAAGTGCGTAGTTTAATTATTCAGATCCAGGGCTTTGGGGATGTGCTTAAACATTATATACAACACGGACATTTTTTTCCCCTATTAAATATTCAATAGGATAGTCGCCATCCTTTTTCAATCTTTCTTATCCACTGTATTATAAAGCTGCAAATTACTCTCAGCTGGATCATCAGCATCTTATGCTGCACATCTGTTATAATCAGCCACAGAAAAGGAAATAATTTCCCCATTTGAATTCAGAACACATTAATTTGCATAATACGATGGGGGTTTCTCTCTTACCAAAGGCTGTGTCTCTCCGTTGACAGGAGGCACTTGGAATCTGTCGATTTCTTCCATCATTTTGGCAAACTGTAACGGGACAATTTCGGTAATTTGAAGATAAACGGTCAGGCTGAACGTAAATACATCAAGTTATTGACGCTCAGTCCGTCGGGATCCTGCGTTTATCAGCATGATAGCGGTTCCTTTTCCCCCATCCCGCTTGACAGAGGTGACTCGACAGCAAAGCACCAGCGTTACCGCCCTACTTCCGGGGCATGGAATATTCATGAAATCCTGACCAATCAGAGAGGAGAACACCGGAAGTAGGCAGATAATTCATTTTAGTCGCTTATGATCTAAAATATTAAATTAACATAAAACAGAAATGTGTGATAATATCATATTTCACTTGGAATTTAAATGTAACACATATTTACTTATAATGACTTAAATAATCGGAGACCTGGCTTCATTCATCCATTCCAGACACGGCTATCGAGCTAGCAGGCCGCACAGGGGAGGAGGGCTGTGTATGTACGTGAACAACAGCTGGTGCACGCACAAACACGTCCACCATCGATAGGCACTGTTCCACTGTGACTCCAAACTTTTTACAATTTTGCTCAATGGTTTGAAACAAGGACCTCGCGGTAATGTCCATGTATAAAAGGAAAAAGGCTGCTCGTGGCGGAAAGGTAATTGTTGCCAAATTTTATCTAGCTCTCAACTAAACTAACAACGGCTGCTCGTTAACTTTATAGTTGCACTTATGAGAAAGTAAAAAGGACAACATTTTATTTTTTTTAATGAGAATTAATTTTAATGAGAATAAAAAAAAATTATTCTGAGATTGACTGGTAAATATATTCATACTCCAGAAATTTACAACTTTTGTTACCCCTCAAACACCAGACTTGATTTAAACTTTTTTTTTTCAGGTCCTAACCTGCTAACATGAAACAATTTTGTTAAATGAACTAAATATGATTAGATGAGTATATGCTAAAAAAAAAAAAAAAAAGGATCAAAAAATCATTGCTGATCATTCAAAAAAAATAAGTAGATGCCAAAAATAGTTGCATTATTCTTTTCAGTGATTTTGTCCCACTTTAGTCCAATAATAGACGTTGAAAATATGCTACAAACCCAGTTTTTAACATATTTCTAACATCTGATAATTACACCTTTTCAGGCTTTGTTTGGACGTAGATCATGTATTTTCAACCAGTGGGGTACAGCCACAAACTTCCACATTTTTATCAGAATTTTATTTTATTTTACGTTTAAAAATTAGAAAAGTTTGGCATTCAGCCCTCTTTCTTCTCTCTACAGTCAATACCATTCAGAGAAAGCCTGAAGCAGCCACAGAGTGTCTTTTATTTATTCTTTATTTGAAGCATATGACTTAAAAATTATGTTTCCTTTAAGCTCTGACATGGCTTGCAAAAAAAAAAGCCATTAATCACTGAATCCTGCATGTTAGCATTAAGTTAGGGACATATTCTTTGAATACTTCTAAATCACATTTTTATACATATTTTGAGTACTTTACACCTTTTTCTTTTTAAAATTATGCAGTGCATAAAATAGTTTAAAGAATATAATTACTTTTGGAAGGCATTCTGTACAAAAATGTATATTTCTGATTATTGCAGCCATAACTCTTTTATGTGTTTGACGTTACACTAGGATAAAGAAGAAGCTGTGGATGCTCATACAGATGTGGATAAATTGGTTAATTTGACAGCCACTGTGAAGCCTCCAAATCATCTGGAGCTCTCTGAGACTGTTAGAACAGAATAGGGATGCTAAGAGATTGATTAGTACAAGATAGGACTGTGGACAAGATGTAATTCCTTTTTAGGGCAAATATATGAAAAAAATGATACACCCGTTAAATGTCTTTGAACTCTCTAATTTGTGGTTAATTCTTTTAGCAGTGATTTATGGCAGGATTTTGCAGGATTTTTATGAAATCCATTTTTTGTCATCTTTAAGCCTATATCTATGCAATTATTTTCAAATCCAATTTGGGTAGGATTTATGCCTGTTTTATGTATGGGGACTATGGTGTCATTTATTGTTTTGGGATTTAACAGTTCTGTAATTCCCAGGACTAATAAACGAAACATATGGCTTTCCTTTAGCCACTTTAACTGACAATTGCGTGTAATTGCTGTTTTATACAGGAGATGGGTCATGCAACATATATCCAAATTATGTCTCCCTGTTTTTTTTTTTTTTTTTTTTTTTTTTTGCCTATCAATTTATCTGCAGAGGACGATATATATTTTGACTTTTCCTTGGAAGTATTTTTGTTTTCTGACTGTTGTTGTCTCTAGGAGTTGAACGAGGAGTTTTGTAGAATTCTGACAACAAGCAACCCGCATGCTCCCAAAAATGTTGTTTGCTTCAGCTTTAAGGTAAGCAGGTCTTACTTTGGGTGTATAAAATCGCATAGCTTAATGTAAGTTCTACTATTATATTCAATGTGAATCCAAATAAGATATTGACGATTCTTGTGTTAAAGAAAATATTCCTGCTTCTTTTTTTAGTTCTCCTTAATAAAGAAGAAACATTTTTTAATTTTATATTTTTATCATGTGTGATATCTTCTGATGAGTCCATTAAAGGAATAGTACACCCAAAACATGATTAGCCTTCATTTTCTACTCACCCCCATGCTGAACAAAACTCTGGAGTACTTTTTTGATATCTCAAATGCATCTGGAGATCTGGGAGGCTTCTTGCTGTCTGCTGACATTCAAATAATGGAGGTCTATAGTGCCCGAGACAGAAAGGTCCACAAAAGTCCACAAAAACGTGTCAATATTCCTCCATACTGCTCGTCCAATGTAATCCAAGTGTCCTGAGTGGGTAGCATCCAGAATTTACTCGAAACGAAGTCATTTAGAACGTTTTAGAGCCTAAACAGTAGTGTATAGGATTTCCTAATAGCGCCCCCATGCGCGCTCACGATTCTACGGAAGCCGGCAGACCAAACCGGAAGAAAGTGCGCATTCAGCGTCTGCTCTGCCGATAATGCAAGCGTAGAAGAAGAAATGTGCCGTTTACCTGTGCAAAGAAAGAAACAATGAAAGAAAAATGTCTGAGGACTTCAGTGTTGAGGAAGAGCATGAGTTCTTTGCCGAGCTGAATGCGCTGGTTTGGTCTGCCGGCTTCCGTAGAATCGTGAGCGCGCATGGGGGCGCTATTAGGAAATCCTATACACTACTGTTTAGGCTCTAAAACGTTCTAAATGACTTAGTTTCGAGTAAATTATGGATGCTACCCACTCAGGACACTTGGATTACATTGGACGAGCAGTATGGAGGAATATTGACACGTTTTTGTGGACTTTTATGGACCTTTCTGTCTCGGGCGCCATAGACCTCCATTATTTGAATGTCAGCAGACAGCAAGAAGCCTCCCAGATCTCCAGATGCATTTGAGATATCAAAAAAGTACTCCAGAGTTTTGTTCAGCATGGGGGTGAGTAGAAAATGAAGGCTAATCATGTTTTGGGTGTACTATTCCTTTAAGCTATTTTCTTGGGGATCACTTTGCTGTATTAAAACTAAGTTTCTTCTACCACTTTTTATGTCTGTTTCAGGAACGTTGCTATAAGCCCCTCAGATTTGTGGCTCAAACAGCTGTTCTCTTTAATTTGGAGGGGAGCATTGTTCACAAAGATCATACTAACTAAATAAGAAAACTCTACCATTTAATAGTGTTTGTCCTTATAAATATTTTTCTCAGTCTGTATTTGAAAAGAAAAGAATATGAGCAATAACATTACTTAAGCAATGTGAAGACCAGCGTCAATATATAACAATCAAAACCCAACGTAAAATTAGTGGTAACTAGCCTCTACCTTTAGTTTACATTATTTTTTAACATCTCAGTAATTGTGTTAAGATTTATACATTATGAAAATTGTTATCCAGGCATTTATTTACCCAGAGGTAGCTCCATCCCACTCTGTATTTGCTATCTGCAAAATATGTTGCAAAAACAGTCCCTTAAAGCTAACATTATACATGTAGTGGATGGGGAAATCAAAGTACATAAATGACAGTTGCAATTTAATGTTCTCTTGAAGAAAAAAAGGTATTTGCCATGGGAAATATACTGTAGGAATGTTTTTCAGAAAGCAGCTGTTGATTTATTCAATTATACAATCTGCAGACATTCTGTACCCGTAAAGGACTCATGTAAAATAAAACATAATTTCTTGTGGCTGCAGATTCCTTACCTGCCCAAGCACTCTGTAACAGTGGAGTCATGAGCTGTGGCTTTTCCTTATACCACTGGTTTGGGTTATAAAATGTGTCAAAAACTATTAACTTAAGTGAAAGTAGATACCTCTGAGAGTAAAAGTAAATTGCTTTGCTAAGCTTAAAGAAAAAATTTACAGTTTCTAGATTGTACTTTAGTACAAAGGTGAAATATATTTTTTTTTTGCTTTCAATGATACAAAATTACTTTTTAGGAATCTCCCAGTGTTATTAAAATACTGACAAAAAATTTAAAACATAATATAGATTAAACTAAACAGCTAAAAAACTAAAAAGCATTAAAATTTGGAACACAATAAACATGTAAATTTAAAACATAATTCTCCATCCAGTTTTCCATCTCCCTGTTAATGTTGTGATCACTGTTTTTCTATGAACAATCTAGGATTCAACTTGACCAATATAATATTTTATTTTAATGTGTATAGAAGTAACGAGCCAATTAAAAAAAAAAAAACTCATTCCTGCATCTTTTGCATCCCTTAAACATATTAAGACATAGCCTTTTTAGAGCATAAGACAAAGATCAGTCCACCTCTCTGCCCACTTGCTAGAAGCTCAGCCATGCTACCTAACGCAGAATGTTGCTTTTGAAAATATACTCTCCATATCCTCTTCTTGTATTTCCAGTAAACAGCTTCTAATCCATTTGAGACATTCACATCACAAAGGTCAAGAAAGCTTTCATTTTTTCTTATTTATTTAAGGAAACTTCTGAAATATATTTATTTGTTTTTGAAATTTGTTTGAAAACTGGGTTGCTTATTTTTCTTCTTCCCAATATTTAGCCTTTAAATTTTGAGAAATGTTTGTTTTTGTTTGTGTATTTTTTTTGTCACTTTTTGTCACAACTAGTACTGTGTTTTTGTAGCTTATTCCATTTCTCTTCCCTGATATAGTGAATGGTTGAAGCCACTAGATGCCACTATTAGGCTAAGAAATACAAGTTGCCAAAAAAAAAAAAAAATCATATCGTTTTTTTTAAATGGGTATTTTATCTGAACAATAAACTTACAGTTAAACATGTCATATTTTCCCAGAGTATGCACCAACGGAGAATGAAGCAGAATTAGATGATCGCACTGAAACCCTGGTAAAGTATATATAAAAAACAAAAATCACATATATATACCCGGTGTGTGTGTGTATATATATATATATATATATATATATATATATATATATATATATATATATATATATATATATATATATATATATATATATATATATATATATATATATATATATATATATATATATATATATATATATTTATACTTCAGCTGTGGTGATTGTGTTTGAGCCTCCTTTGGCTTATTTTCCTCAGGCTACACTTTTGAGGAAGGAGGAGAAGGCAAAGAAGTTGTAGACGAGGAGAGACCAGACACTGCCGCCTCAAAACCCAAGAAAGAGGCAAAAGCTACAAATCTATTCTTCATTGAAAGGGCATCACAGACTCACAGAAATGTTTCAATGGTATGAAGTAGTGATAGTTTATGTGATAGTTACAAAACCAGTACTATAATAAGAAATAGCATAAAAAAATGCTTTTGTTGTCTTTCCCTGACTTTCAGGAAAGAAGCTCTCAGACTGAGCCTCCTTCACGCATCAACTTTTCTGCCACTGCAAATCAAGTACGTTCCTTACTTTTTCCTCTTAGTGTAGAACACTGATTGTCTGATGAGTTGACCTTAACAACTGACTGTTTGCAGTGGAAAATTTATGACGCTTATTTGGAGGAACTGCAGAAGCAAGAAAAAAATAAAGAGAAGCAGAAAACCACACTATTGAAAAAAGATACTAGTGACAGCAAGAAGAAAGTGACACTGATGGAGACCCGGGTAACCTGCTCTACCTATCAGATTTTAAATTCAATCTTATAGGCATTTAAATTAAGTCTTTACTTCACTGAAAGGTTGAACCTTTCATTGAAGGTTTTCAAATCCGTTTTACAGACAACAAAACTCATGTAATCAAATATACTATCAGTGAAGGTTCATCCAAAACTTTGATGTATTTCTTTTCCAGAGGGATGATATCTCTAAAGTGGAAAAGGTGGCCAAGATCGTTGAACGAGCGATCAACCGAGATCTGATGGATGACAGAGCACTTAGTATGGTTCTTTTAGAAGTAAAACACATTAGGAAACCCAAGTTGTTTTATAAACCTCAAATTTTGCTCTGTGACCTTGTTCCTTTATTACTTTCAGAGATCTTTGGGGATCACTCTCATGAGTACAAAGACCAGGAGCTCTCCCTCTTCATCCTCTGTGGATGTTTCAGTACAACGCAGTCAGAAACTTGTCTGTCACTGCCCTCTGCTGGTAGGTTTATTTATCAGCTCCGCAAAACAAAGTGTGAGCTTTGGGGGATATTTGTCTCCTAGTCAGTGGTGTCAAAAGTACACACATTTGTTACTTAAGTAGAAGTATAGATACTGCAGTTTAAAAACACTCTGGTAAAAGTTGAAGTATCAACTTGGCCTCTTTACCCAAGTAAAAGTGAAAAAGTATGTGCTCCAAAAACTACTTATAGTATAAACGTAGAAAGTAACCTTTAAAAAACAGCCAGATGCCACTATATGAATTGAAAGCTCAATTTTTGAACTATTTCGAGAAATTCTTTGAGATAGGGCCAAGGATGAGGGAGGTGAATCTGACATTGTACAATGTCGGATTCACCTCCCTCATCTCAATTTGCATTTGCAGTTTGAAGAACACCTGCTTGCTCCTGAGGATTTCCACTTGCATCAGCACAAATTTGAGGAATAGCTAACCAATGAGTGTTTGCATTATATGACTCATCCAATTACACCAGTTATTACTAGATGTGGATGGCGCCAATGATCTGCATTGGATGGAGCACATAACATGAAATAAATATTTATAAACTTTAAACCAAAGCCAAGAGTAACAAGGAAGTACAGATAGAATAGAAAGTACAGATACTGTTGTGAGAAAATGTATTGAGTAGAAGTCAGAAGTAGGAAGAAAAATAAGTAATGGAGTAACGTATATATACCTAAAAAATTTACTTAAGTACAGTAACAAAGTAATTTGTACTTTGTTACTTGACACCTTTGCTCCAAGTTTTTTTAATAAGACTTTAAAGATCTAATACCTGCTCATTTTTGTCCCATGTTGTCACTCTGGAGCTCCTTCTGAGATACCATGCGCCACTCCGCTGCTTTTCTAATGAATACTTTGTTTGAAATGTCTGGTCTTTTTTTTTTTTTTTTCAAATGTTGGTCTTTTTAGGATTCAAAAATAAAAGCCACAATTCTATACTTATATATGAACATCAAGGACTTTTAATAAATATGTAACATTATGGATGAGTGGCTAATATTGTGTTTAACAGGAATAACAAATACCTGGACCTGTTTGCCGTGGGATTGCGATCATGTAAGTACTATGATAGTACTAGTACTAGTGATAATACATCTGTTATTGATTCTTTATTTTCAGTGATCCTTATGTAAAATTTTCAGTGCCAAAATCAGTTTTCTTCTGCCTCTGTTGCTGCAAGATGAATGCAGACAGGGAGATGGTATGGTTCTCTTCTTCTCCATGAAGAACCCAACTGTTCCAGAGTACATCTACTCCACACCCTCCGGGGTCTGTAGCCTCGACATCCATCCACACCACTCGTATCTACTGGCAGTGGGCTTCTACGATGGATGCGTGGCCGTTTACAACTTGAAAAAGAAAGAACCGCACCCTGTTGACAGGAGTACGGTGAAGAATGGCAAGCACACAGAGCCTGTCTGGCAGGTGACTGGGGGGGGGCATGGCACGCAAACGGGGAGTTTGCCGTTTGCGTGCTATTCAGTTAAATGTCAAAGTGGTCACCACTGCTTAGTTTGTGCTTGCATTACTCCCTTCTTTCACTAGATTTGGCAGGAAACAGTAAGAAACACTAAATAACTGAATCTGTTTATTATATGGTGGTATAATGATTATCACTTTGTTTTTTTGCGCAAAGACAAATTTTGCTATGGATAATCCAAGATGTTAAATCTATTTATATGTTTAGTCTTTTCACATCTGTATGGTATCTAGGTGCGCTGGCAGAAAGATGATATGGATGGCAACCATATTTTTTATTCTGTGTCAGCTGATAGCAGAGTGGTGTCCTGGACACTTGTCAAGGTTAGTATAATAAATACCCAGGGGTTTTTCAGAAGATTGTTTCTCTTGGTTATTCCAGTGTTTATTTAACTGATATCTGTGTTTCTGTTTGTATGATTGCAGCACAAGCTTATTTCAACGGACATTATCAGACTGACGCTGAAAGGTGCTGCCTCTGATGCACCACATGCAGCACAGCGGTCCAACTTTTGTAAGACTGCCTCACAGATGTCTGTGAGGTTCTCTCTATGACAGTTATTTAGTGTCGGTTAATCAGTTTACTATATTAGACTGAAAGCTGTGACAGATTATATCTTAATGTCTCTCTTTTTCCACAGCTACTGGTAGGTCAATGGACTTCAATAAACAGATTAATAATCTGTTTTTAGTTGGCACCGAGCAAGGGAAAATTCATAAGGTATGTGTGAAGGATTTCACAAGCTGCTTTTGCTGTGTGACGCCTCTAAAATTGCAAGAATGCCACTGATGTGATCCACTTCGACAGGCAGACCTCCAGGGAGAAAGGAAGTCACAACTTAATTTGAGATACAGTCATTATTCACAAATCTAATACAGATTAGGCATAGAAAATAAATAAAAATGACTACACTGTAATGGAGAACTAGTTGAGAAAAAAGAATTGCCTGGAGTAAAAGTCAAGGTTGAGCATCATACTTACCAAAAGGACCAGTTGTGTTTTAAAAAAAAAAGAAATGTAAATCCTTTTATTGTTCCACAATTGGGAAATTCACTCTCTGCATTTAACCCATCCCCTTGGAGAGCAGTGGGCTGCCATTGTGTGGCGCCTGGGGAGCAGTGTGAGGTTAAGGGTCTTGCTCAGGAACCCAGAGTGGAGGCTTTGGGGTTAGGGTTACTTGCACTCTTCTCAGAGCACAAGCGCACTGCTCTAACCACTAGGCCATCACTCCCTTTTTTTTTTTTTTATAGCTTCTTGAGAGAAATTAGAAACACTGGATTGTTGCAAAAAAAAAAATCTGTGATAATTTACTCTAATTGTGACTTTAATGGGCTCCTGATAACAGTTAACAGTCCTTGCAGATGAAAATGCATCAGGGCATGATGACTTACTTTACCATTTGTTGTCCCAGCCAGTGGCACTAAATACTAAATTCATTTCAACTCACCCACCTTATAACACACTACAGAACAATTTTGTAATGTTTGATAAGACCCTATTTTCTTCACTCGTAAGTGTGCCATACTTTCCTGTGCTCTTCTTGTTAACTTGTTGTCAGACACGTACCCAATATGTGTGAAATTACATCCTCGGTCTGTCACACTGGCAAAGACACCTCAGACAGGACAGATTAGCATTCTATCAGGGAGCTGCAGGACAGCAATCCTTTTGACAGTGTTTGCAGCTGTGTGTGCAACCTACAAAGTATGTTTTATCCAAGATTATCTTGTAAATGTATTCCTGCAGTCTAATTCTGCTGTTGTTTTGTTGCTTTCACCAACCTTAAATAAACTTTAGAATTAAGCTGTCAGATACAAAATATTGATGGATACACTCTTGCCCAGCTTTACAGTGTAGGCACATACCTCATAGGAAATAACAAGAAAATAATTTTTCTTCCACAATGTGTTTTTCTTACATTTACCTCAAGGCATGCTGTTTTCAGAGTTTTTCATTTTAGTATTTACATTTATTATATCGTTACAGCACAATATTTTAACAAAAACATGTCCATATTTTAACATATTAGCTTTTATTTACCTTAGGGTTGTCACGATACTAAACTTTTCAACTCGATACCGATACTAAGGAAAATATTTGATACTCGATACCATTTTCGATACCACAAGGATAAAAACAAAGACTCCAAAATTCTACAGAAATATTTCTTTAATAAATAAAATACAATACATAAATACAATAAAGGTTGTATGCTGTGCACAATATTAAGCAAGCTTGATAAAAAACTTATAAAAAATTGAAATTAAGTGTTCCTTCCTTGGCTATGCTTTGCACACATAACAATGACACTAGCCAAACCGGTTAAGAAACAAAAATAATTCTCAGCAGCTGCACCTCTTACAAAAAAAAAGTGTGAAACTGAAAAGTGCACAGAATTATTCAAACACACAGTGCTCTGAAAGTGCATTGTCCTCTATTCTGCACTTTAGATGAATGACTGCTTAGGTGCCACTGGTGTTGGCACTGTATCGATACTTTTAAAAACGAGTATTGTATCCGGATACAACGTTTCAGTATCAATACTTTTTTGAGTATCGATACTTTTGACAACCCTAATTTACCTTATTTTAATAAGGTCCAATGTACAAGGAAAGAATGAGCTGAGTAATTCACATAATGTCTTCAGAATATTGAAATATTTTTGACTTTAACCTGTAAAAAAAATCTAACACTTTCCTTTTATTTTCAAGTGCTCGAAGATTTACTCCAATCTGTTCCTGGAGACTTATGAGGCCCACAACATGCCAGTGGATACTGTGAAGTGGAACCACTTCCATCCCAACATCTTCATTTCTTGCAGTTATGACTGGACTGTTAAGTTGTGGGAGCACACCATCAAGTAAGAAGCACACATGCGTTTAGTACATTCATTTGCCTAGGAAATGCACTCAGTTGAACTCTAGACCTTTTTTTTTTATCATCTTAAGCTGTTGACTATAAAATAATAGAACAAACTTGAACCTGATGGGCCAGTATATCATGGTATCTTACAGTTGATGTGGTATAACAAACATCATGTGGATATTATGTCCTTAAAGACATTGGGTTAGATTTGAGCAATTTTGAACAGAAACAACTTCTAATAGTTTGTGTAATATAGCTAGAAAACTCTAAAGCTCAAAATCTATTAAATTTCTCTGCAGTTGTGATTAGTCTTTTACTGCAGCTTATAGTAACTAGAATTACTGTGATGGATTAAGGAAATTAGGAAAAATGTTGATGCAACATGCAAGAACTGGGTAGCCAAAGATGACCAAAGAATGATGAAATCATATTAGGCTGACTGAAATCATCCTTTATGTAAAATATTCTAGATAGGTTATTTTTTGTCAAAAAAGCATTCTGCACCTCTGTGTCTTTTGCTTGCTTGCTTCTTTGTCTGCTTGTGTCGTCTTGAACCCAGCACTAAGCCTGGTTCTGCTGGCGGTTTCGTCCTGTTAAAAGGGAGTTTTTCGGGAACCCATAAAATTTCTGATGTTCTGTTGTTTCTCTCGAGACCTACCACTTCAGTCAAAAGGGTCATCGCAATTATTAATCAGTTTGGTTCATTTTCAGGATACAAAATAAACTCCAAATATGAGTCCATGCCCCTGGGTAGACAACTGTATATCCCTAGCTCCCCTTTTAAATGGTTCCCTGCAGGATTTAAATATTTCTTTGCATATTTGTCAGGCCTACTGTAACTTCAATCAGATGTTTAAAGAAAACGTTATTCCATTATTTGAAAAAATTAAGCTAGACCTCGAACACTGGAATTGTCTTCCCATATCTTGGTTGGGCAGAATTTCGCTTCTTAAGATGAACATTCTCCCACGCTTGTTATACCCAATTAGGATGATTCCTATCTTGTTTACCCAGAGGTGGATCCAAAAATTGAAGAGTTGGTTTGGATCCTATATTTGGGCCAAAAGAAGGCCATTCATTAAAATGTCAACACTATAGCTACCAAGGAACATGGGAGGTTTAGATCTTCCAGATCTCAAAAAATATAAGTTGAGTTCTCTTATATAATATGCAGGGGAGTCGATATCTGGAAATCATCCCACAGTGTGGCTGGACATAGAATCCTGATTATGCGACTGCCCTCTTAATAGCCTGCTTTTTGTTAAAAATATGAAAACGATAAACAAATGTTGTAATAATCCAATTACCGTGAATACAGTCAAAGCTTGAAGGGCGGTTCGACATATCGAGGGAAGAAATGGGAAAACATCCCCGTTTACGCCTTTTGTCCAGAACCCTGACTTTCTTCCGGGTATGACAGATGCAGGTTTTGGGGAATGGGTGTCTAAGGGTATTTCTTCTCTGGGCTGTCTTTTTAAGGGGGGGGATTCTTATGTCATTTAATCAAGTTGTGGAAGCCTTTGGAGTAGGGAAAAATAACCTCTTCAGTTTCTTCCAGATAAGAGACTTTGTTAAAAAAGAAACAACTCTACTCGGGGACACTGAGGTTTCAGGCATTGAAAAATAGTTTTTCTGTACTCGTGAAGTGTCACTCAGTGTATGCTATAAAATATTAAAATGTGATAAGTGTCACTTACCAACTCTGGCCCAGGCATGGGGAGGAGAGCTGAACATCGAGATTACCGATGAAATGTTGAGCAGTATTTGGAACTCGGCCAGAAAAATTACTATCTGTAATCGCTCCTGGGCATTGCAACTTAAATTACTGCATAGAGCTCACTTGGCCCCAAACCGGTTGTCTAAGTTTAAACCTGGGTCCTCTTCACTGTGTCCTGAGTGCAAAATACATGAAGGCGGCCTCACACACTGTCTTTGGTTATGCCTCAAGATCCAGTCATACTGGAAGTCTATTCGTTACTCTGGCACAACTTTTCTAGTTTTTACTTCTGTATAACATTTGATGAGATTTCCATGAGAATCCAAGTCCTTTGTACTTCATTTTATCCTATGATTCATTTTCCTAGCCCAGGATTACTGGAACTAGAGGACAGTTTGCAGGGGTTCTCTATTGGACAGAGCCCCAGACTATCTGAAACATCATTTATCAACACTTGACTGTGACACTGCTGTTTATGTGTTGCTAAGACATTTGGCCACCATTACAACAGCCAGCGCTCTATTGGTGTCCCCTGGCTTAACTGGACTTTCCATTGAATAAAATTAGCAGTGTTGAACTTGATGAATGATGGTGTAATCATTGCCCTGTCAGGTATTCCTGTTCATTGGAATAGGTTCACTTTCAGAGGAGTTAAAGCCCTTAGAAATAGCATGGCCTCTCTGATGAGTGGTCTTAATGTCTCCCTCTGTAGCTTAATGTTGCTTTAAATGGATTGGGTTGACATCAATTTTACATCCAATGATTGACAACCTTAATTTTAATCAGTTGAAAAAGATAGAGCTTTGTATATAGAACCATCTTTCTGGTCATTCATTTTGTGGAGGACTTGCACAAAATATTTTTTGTTATAAAAGTGCAAATCATTGCTGTGTCGTTAAGATTTGTACAATTTTAATTATTTTCTTAACAGCATAGGCGGATCTACTGGGGTGGCATAGGGTGGCAAATGCCACCCTAAATGACAGCCTTGCCACCCCTGCTGCCACCCCAGTTGGCGGTAGGGATGGCGAGGCTTATAAATTATGGATCATTTGAGAATTACGACCGCTAATTTCTAATGTCGGACTGCAGTGAATGCAGCACGAGATGACGCGAGAGCGACTGAGACTGATTGTTTTGAAAACCGAATGGGGCAAAGCGAGGGAGCCAGGGGTGATGGGGAGAGGAGACACGGGATGAAACAGGTAAAAACTGTTTAACTATCTATCGAGAAATTAAATCATAATGAAAGCACAATGTTGCTTGCATAGCTGCAATGTTGATTTTGAGATGATAAAAATCAGGTTGCAGAACGTTATTTCTCTAACTATGATGTTAGTTAGGCCTGACGTCTCAGGCTCATAAAGACATATTTGCGGTCAACTATGACAGAACAGAGACTATCAAGTTTGGTTGTACTCAAATCAAAACGCACAAAGGCATTTGATCTAAATAAATTTGTGAAGCGTTTTGCTGAACAACATGGAAACCGACGCATTCAGCTGTTATAGTCATGTTAACTTTATGTTATGCTCTCTGGTGAGCCTTTACAGAGATCTTACATTTTGTTTTGGCACCTGAGAAAATCTGATATTTCCTTTAATAAAACCAAAAGTGTTAAAAGTTAAAAATGTGATACTGGTGTAAATCCTGCTTAATATGAAACAGTGTTGTTGTTTCTTTTTTGTATATATAGTATGAAATTATCCAGAAATGACCTGTATGAACCTACTCACAAGCAAAATGTATTTTTTATGTTGCTTCTTTTCAGATTTGTGGAGATTTTGATGAAACATTCAGAACCCGCCTTTTTGTTGATTTGTTGATACAGCAGTATGGAGGACCAACTCTGCCATATTTAAAAATAAATACAGAAATAAATAAATGCTCAATAAATAAATAAGCATACAATTAATTGCCACTAAAAATACAAACAACAAATAAATGTAAGTAGAAATAAAATTATACAGCTAGTCATAAAGGTATATAACTCTTTTTATTTCTTTGCCTTTTTAATATTTACCCTATTTATTTTTTTGTCATTTATTATCTTCAACTTCATTTTTTAATTACTTATATTTTTAAGTATTTATTTATGTGCATGTTATAATATTTTTGTCTGTTTTATTCTTCCTTTGTATTTTTTTACCTAGTTATTTCTTCGCCGCTATTTCTTTCTGCCTGCCCTTTTAACATTTCTGCCTGCCATTATAATATAATTTCTAATTACATTTATTTGTTGATTGTATTTTTGGTGGCAATTAATTGTATGCTTATTTATTTATTGAGCATTTATTTATTTCTGTATTTATTTTTAAATATGGCGGAGTTGGTCCTCCATATACAGCTCTATCTACAGCATATTTACATGCATGAAATGTCCCTTTTATGTTGCCGTAACTGCTGTATGTCAAGTTACTGAGGAACAAATGGGGTAAATGTGTGTTCAGAGTAAACAATACATAGATGTCTGGTACCTTGTTTGGGTGCCTTGACCCACTTATTTCTACTGTGTAGTTATGCTCACGTTAGTACAGCTCAGTCCATAGATCTCTGATGGGTTAGTTTTTCTTTCTATAGTTTCTTCTTGTGCAAATGCTGCAAAGCTGCCTCTCTGACAGTCAATCTCACACATCTACTACTCAGCACCTGTGTCTTACCTTAATACCTTTCCTGTCATAAGGCCCCTCTAGAAGTAGTGTTATCATTCTTCTATCTCCTATTAAGTGAGATCACATTGTACGATGTATTATTAATATGAACTGTTTCACATGAAACACTAGTACTGTACATACTATTCTCACCAAACTGTGATAACTGTGATTAAATTCAGTGTAAACAAATGCCATATGTTGCCACCCCTAAAAAAATCCTGCCCCCCTCTTGCCACCCCATGAATATTTTTCTAGATCCGCCCCTGCTTAACAGATAGTTATACATGCTTGGTCAAATTTAATACTTCCCCCATTCTTTCCAAGGTGTTGCAATGGGTTAGTCTTTATGAGCTTCTAACTCTCATGGTGGATTTAGCATAATTTTCTTGGCTCATTTGATTAACCCACACATCCTCCCACATTGTGTCTGCACCAGCAGCTTGACTGAATAATGATAGTAATCATTTGCACATCATGAGAGCCTTTTTTTCAAAGTGTGATCCGTAAAAAAAAATCCTAAAAATACCAAACTTCAGATTTCTGAATTAAAAACGCTAATTTTCCAGATCATTGTGGAGTTAAATAGTCTAAGCCCTTATGAACAAATGAATGAGGAGACTGTTGATATTGGTTGGTGACAAGGCTCTGAAAAGACAACAGGTTTAGCAAAAATAGCTCCACCTTCACCATATTGTAATGTGGAAAGATTAGACTAGACTCTTTCCCCCGAAATATAAAGTAGTTTTGAATAGTATAAAAAAAATAATTGCTGAAAAGAGACAGATGAGAATGAAGCACAAAGAAATATTTGGTTTTGGTTTCAGAAGTCACTTATAATTAGTCAATATAGTTAATCTTTGAGTCATTTATTTCCAGTATTCCAGCGTAAATAAAGCTGTTCTGTGAAGATCTGAGATGTTTGCTATTAATTAATACTGCAAATTATAATCATTTTCCAAACTGATTAATCTGTTGATTATCTTTTTTGGTTTAATCGATTAATAATTGGATAGCAAAAGGTTCCTTGTAGAAGATTTTTACAGAATTTAGACCAGTTGAAACTAAAACCTGTTCACATAAGGAGTTTTGGATAGAGCATATTGATGGACTAAAACATCTTTTTTAACCATAAATTAAAAAAAAATTTTTATATATTTTAACAGTTTTGGTATAATTACTGCTCTAACTGATTACTAAATTAGTTGACAATCACGATTAATCGATTCTTTCAGCCCAACTATGAATTATAATTGCTGTTCATTTTAGTTAACAGTAGTTTAATTGCACATTTGTCCTGATGTTTTTATGATGTAATGCACCTTAAAATGCTATGCCGCTCAATCAGCCATACAAGTAATTTAGTTTACTTTTTACTTCAATATTCAATATACGGTATACAATTAGAATGAGTAGAAGATAGAGGGAGCAGCAATGCACACGCTTTACTTGCTCTCAATGCATCAGGCTTTATGTACCTAATGAATTGCGAGAAACATGCATATATGGGCCAATGTGGATAAAACAATGCTTATATCTACCAATGGATTTATTCAATTCAAATAAAAAACAAAAAAACAAAAAAAAACAAAGAGAAATTAAATGTTGCAGTAACTCTTTCCTTTTTACCAGTTGTTGTAGATGTTAATAATTTTAGGCAGGGTGGATCTTCTCTCTCTCTTGCACCGAATCTGGAGAAGCCTCTGAATGGAGACACTGGTATTTAACAGTTTGGCGAAGAGGATGCTCTCTGTTGTTCATAATGTTATCCATTTCATGAAGAAGTCTTCTTAGTGAAATAATCTCCAGAGGTTCTAGAGGGGTGCTTGGAACAGAGCTTGCCTCTTTATTAGCTTTTTGAGCTTTTTAAAGTCATTTTTTAGACGTATTGATCTCTCTAGCCAAGATGAATAGGTTGAGCATGCAGGTGTACAATTTTCTCAGTCATGCGATTTGAGTCCTCTATATATTCTGAAAATTCGGTCTTTTACCCTTTAATCCCTGCTCAGCATCAAAAGTTTAGGCATTTGAGAAAACTGTGTTTCCACTCCACACAATGGACTGTAAACTGTTAATCCTAACAAATAACGTCTTTCTCATGATATTACCAGTAAGAGATTATGATTGGATTTTACTCGAGCTTTACTTTTGTATTTTCTTTTTCAGCACTCCACTGCTCACCATTGATCTTTATGAACCTGTTGCGGATGTTGCATGGGCTCCTTACTCCTCCACTGTGTTTGCTGCTGCGACAATAGATGGAAAGGTAAGAGTCTTTTTCAGTTCCGTCCTGTTTAGAATTAGGAACATCCAAAACATCTCTTTACATTCAAGTGTTTTTATTTTATGTATGCTTTTTAGCATTTTTATTTGCCTTTATCTATGGTTTTCTTTATTACATTTTTCTATGATCTATCCATACATCCATCCACCTTCAGGGCCACAGTGGGGCTGGTGCCAATGCCCGGCAGTCTGTGGGCGGGAGGCGGGGTACACCCTGGGCAGGGTTGCGTGGTTGTCACAGGGCAACACAGAGACGCATGAAGACATGCAACCATGCGTACACACACTCACACCTAAGGACAATCTAGGGAACAGTCATGTTTTTGGGCTATGGGAGCAAGTCAGAGTACCCAGAGAGAACCCACACATGCATGGGGAAAACATGCAGACTCCATCTTTTTCATTTACTAAAACAAGCTTACTGACATCAAACATAATCCATCAACAGTTTCTTTAAGACAACACAATGATTAGGCTTTACTTTTTATAATATGCCTCACCTTAGTACCACAGACAACACATAACCATTGTGTTTCACAAATAACTTGAGCTTGACATCTATTAGACTGAACTCGTGAAACACCAAACAGCTACCCCATCCACCATCTGCCCTCAGTTTTTAATCATTCGTATCTGTTGGATTAGCCTCAGATCAAAGCTAAGTAGCCTCAGGAAATCGAGTTGCTTCAGACTCTTGTTTCCTGTAACAAAAAAGCTTTCTAGTTATTGATTCCAGGCAAAAGTAATTTTGGCGGGTGTTGTGTTGCTTATCTTCACATATTTTTTTTTAGTATGGCTTCAAGCTGTCCCCATCTGTTTGTCCTCTCAGTCTGTGCAACACTATAAAAGTCAGGAGTGTTATGTCTGACACGTTTCCTTTCCAATGTGCCAAGTGAAGCCGAGTGAGAATGACAGAGAGGAAATGAGAGCTGAGTAATTTGACAGACACCTTATGTGAGATTTGGTGTGTTTAGCTCATGTTCTCTCAGCTGCCAGGGTCACCACAGGTACCAGCTGTGCCAAAGGATAACTCATTATATAACACAACCCACCTTTTACCTAAGTTTCTGGGGGAAGCATTGCATTGCATTTACCAGTGTGAAAACAATTTTCCAGGATAGAAAGCTTTACCAGAATAAAAAAATTGAGCTCTAGCTTATGTTTTGTATACATATTTATGTCTAAGATTTTTGTGTTGTTCTTTCCTTTTGCATACGTTCATCAGCATTTATACATGTAATATCTGAGAAGGTTTAAGACTTACTTTACTTTTAAGTGTTAATAATTTAACTTCACATAGTAAACAGCTGTGGCATGATCACAGGTTTATGGCCAAAACACCAAGGGTCTTATTGTCAGAAGGATTGGGGGTCTTTTACGGCAGCGGTCCCCAACCTTTTTGCACCACAGACCGCTATATGTCAGACAGTATTTTTGCAGACCGGCCGGGGGGGGGGGCGTTGCGGTGGGTGGACCGTTTGCACTTGATCGTATTCAAATCACCCTTGCACAATGACACACGAAGTGTGCTCCTGATGTCCAGTCTGCTCAGTAGGTTTGTTTTGGTCGCTGTAACCGCAGAAAATCCCGCTTCACAAAGATAGGATGTTATAGTTAGGATGAGTCTTAACCTGTGTCAAAAGGCACAGATGCACCGACTGATGTAATTGAGACAGAATACCGCAATTTTTTTATATTTTTCAAAATAAAACATCACTCAGACTCTGATCGTCGATAAATGATTCTGTGCGGCCCCGTGGTTGGGGACCGCTGTTTTACGGGGCGTATTACAGAAGATGCAAAGCTCTCATCAGAAAGCTTATAGAAAACCTTTTTTTGCATGTGTCTTCAATATTCTAAAGTACACTCAGAATGAACGCAAATTTTGTAGCTGGAGCGATGGATCTCCATGTTACCCCTATGTAGAGGGCGGCTCTGGAGCGCTGCAAATAGCAACAAGGCAATTTGGTTTTACTAGGGTGGCGCAGGATCAGGCCTTAAGAAAACACTTTCAGTAGACTTTATTTATCGACAGCATAAATTAGTAGGTGCAATTACTGTGTCAGACTTTTGAAATGGTGGGCTTATTGAGTTACTAAACAAGACCACTTCAGTGGAAGAAATGGTCTACCTTTTCTTGATTTTACAGAGCAAATTACAAATTATATATCTAAAATAAATAGTTTTTTCTTAACTATATGCTCTGCAATAAAAATCAAAAAGTCAGATAGTTGAAATGGACCTTTTTAAAAATCTGTTTCTCATTGTTTAAACTAATGAGTTTTTGTGATTGCATTTATAGCACTAAGAAATCATATTCATAATTTTCTTAGAGGATTATTAGGAATCTGAAATAAAGCAAACAGATGCAAGAAAGCCACTGACTCTGAAACATTAAATGTTGGCTAATACAATTTCCAATATGAGTATTTTCCCCCTGGGCAGCAGGCAGTGAACATGTCTGAGATCCTAGCTTGATGCATAGATACGAGCAATGATGATCTGGCCTCTGTTACTTCTGCCACCCCACAAAATGTCAGATGAATAAAGCCGTACAACTTTGCCTGAGTTTGTGGGTTTGTGTGAATTTGTGCTGATTGGGTTAATAAATTGGCTTACAGGCTGTAGTGCAAGAATGACACACAGTTGTGTGGTGCAAAGAAATTCTTTCTGTCCTCGATTCTCAATCTGAGCTGCCTATTTGGAAAAGTGTCTGTATGACATGATGAAAAGTCTTGTCCTCTCTGCTGGCGATGAAGCTTCAAACTCATGTTTACCTTTCCTGTTGGATGTCCTCTCAGCCTAATCTGTAGGAACTCAAACTAATTAGAGGAGTGGAAAATCATTTCTTTAGATCATTGGGTTGATCATTTCTTTATGGTGTTTAGATACAAGATGCATTTTCTGGTTTTGTTAAATGAGCAAACACTGTTTGTTAGGCTTTCTAGAGTACTTTTTATTTATCTGTGTTTCATTTTACATCGTTTACTTTTCTTTTTAGTCAAATTATTTTATCTGCAACATAATACTGTCACAAAAAACATCCTAGGTATGTCTTTGCTCTGATTTAATGTTCTCATTTCAAACCAACTGAGTAAATATATTAACCTGAAATACAAGGAGGCTTTTTTGTAGCTAAAAATGTAATCAAATTTCCTCAGATAACATCAGATCATGTTAAGAAAAATAAAAAGGTTTAATATTGTCTCTTCTTTTGACTGTGGATGTCCTCATTAGCTTTCTGCCCGTGTGTCCAGTGCAAACTGCCGTGATAGAGATGCTCACTGCCACTGGTTTTCTTTTGCCATGCTTTGAGTTTTTACTTTTAAACATATGGCTTTCTCGTTGTATTCATATTGAGCTGTTCCATGAGGACCGATGGATCCTACAGTCCAGAATCGATTTTTGTTTTTACAATGTTTTTATCTTGCTGTGAAGGACTTTGGTCTTCCAGGTGTTGTTATAAAGTGCTATTCAGATAATTGATTGATTGATTGAACATATAAAAAAACTAGATGTTCATTGTAGATGGGGCTCCTCTCTAAGTGAAGCTATTTTAAAGAAAATTCTCATTGAATTTTCAGTGAGATGATTTATTTCAAAAGTTAGGTGATTGTGAACATCTGTGAGTTTGTACTATATATAAATAAAGGCAATAAATTATTTCTTTTTTAACAAGATTTTATAACCTTTAGAGAAGAAAAAGTCCTCATTACATTGTTGATAGCCTGGAATTAATGCAGTCAAATTATTTGTTGTTGATATGCATCACTGATTGTGTGGCCGCTGTCATGTGTTGGTAGAGTATCTTTCAGAAGCAGACAAAATCTACATATTGGTTTCCTTGACTTCGCCATCATCCAGCTTTTCAGCTTTTCCATAGCCCCATTTGTCCTCTGTGTCCCTGCAACACAAGACAACAGAGAACTGGTTGGCTGTTTGCTTGCATTCTTTCATCTGCATGTTTATTGGCATCAAAATACACATAACAATGATGAATGCATTTAAGAATTGAAAAATTATGTGGGAAATCTCTTTATTAATTCCTTTTATGAAACTTAAAGAAATCAACTTAACTGAATAACCAGCAAGTTAATATTTTGTAGTACTGTTCAATACATTTTCAATCATAAACAGGAGCAGACGAATACACTGGAGTTGTAATGTTAATGTTTAACACACTCATATATACTTCCTGTTAATCAAATGGCTTATTTTTATGTTGTGCAGCTATAAAAGTTGATTATGCTATGCAAGATACCAAAATAAGACATTAAACAACTAATAAACTCCAACAAAGAACTCTGACTAATTGTCATGATGGGTTTCTGGGTGCTAGCCCATATGCAGAACACAACTCAGAGACGGGAAAAAGTTCAAAGGTTTAATTTAGAAGAGGTGCAAAAAGAGTCAAGGGGAATAATCAGGTCCAGGGCTGGTCACGGCTGGGTTACTGTCCTGGAGCTTGAGCAGAGCAGAAGAGGGGGAGATTACCAGGAGGGTTCAGAGGCTGACGGCAGGCTGAGGGCTCGGAGGAGGCTTGGCTTGGCTGGGGCTTGTAGATCTCCAGGTTTGGGTTCAGAGGCAGATGGCAGACTGAGGGCTGAGGTTTGAGCTGAGCAGGCGGATGGAGGGAACCAGGAGGGTCCAGAGGCTAGTTGTTGGCAGAGTGCTAAGCAACGGCAGGGCTCGACTTCAGACTTATCAGTGTTCTGATCCAGAGTTTCTTCCGATCCTCTTCTTGAGGGCGGGCAGGCAGGTTCAGACAGTTAGATTCTTCAGATGAGCTCCTGAGAGCCGGCAGGCAGATTTCAGCAGAGAAACTCTTCCAGAGTTCCAGGGTTCAGTCAGGTTTCTTCCATGATTGACTAACACTCTGGCGCCAGAGTGAGGTTCTCAGCCCGCTTAAGTACTGGTCTCCTGATGAGCAGATGAAGAACAGCTGGTGAAGTCAGCTCCAGCCTCAGGAGATACAGTACGCCCTCTGGTGGAGAAAAGGTAGACAGAACCCCAGATCCCAACAATAACACAAAACCCCTAGGAAGAGTTCCTCGGCGCCCTCTGGTGGGCAAGCCTCAGGATCCCAACACTAATTAGTTAAAATTGAAATTTCTATTCAAAAAACATCTAATAGCATAAAACCAACAAATAGGAAAGAATGACAGAATTATGCTTTTTCAGAGAATATTTAAACATTTCAGAAATAATTTTTACTCCCTAAATCTAATGTGCCATTTCTGTTACCTTATGAGGTAGAGCCTCATAAAGTATTTGCAATAGCAATATATGTGTTATGTATGTTTTTCAGTCTCTTGTGTTTGAGACAGGGAGTGACTTTGATTTACAAACCTTTTTCTGTTTAGTAGATTATACAGGATCAGAACAACAAAGGCAATCAGCAGGAAGCCAACGACAGCCGTCAAGACCAACCAAAAAGGGCTGAAGATTCACTGATTTGGATCTTGCAGCTAGTGACATAAATTAAGTGCAAATTAAGTCATTTATACCAACATAAATAATAGTGCATTGTTCAGTTGTGCTTAAAATCTAACAACAAAAGGACTTTCCAAAATGTATAATGTACACCAATCCAACTTTTTAAAGCTTTATTCAAGCTATAATTCCCTCAGCATTGTACTCCGAAATCTGCTTTGTCTTTACAAGAGATCTAAATTTGTATTAATGTTTCAGCATATATAAAACATTGTAGAAAAATATATATTTACCATTGTCAGCAGAGCAGCTGGTAGCACACAGTAGCAAACAGAAAGCAAGTAAGTTTATCACAAACATAGTTGATCCAACTGTTTAAACCTCATTGACTAACAATAAGCGTACAGCTCACCTCTGCTGTGGAAAACACCTTCACATGCTGTATTTAGTGCCTCTGTGGCATGCATAACCATGTTGCAATCAGAGGGCAAAGTCTGTAGCTTTTATAGAAATCTGGGTGTGTTATCTGCTTTATTAGCTTTAAAAAGTTTTTAATGAGGTCCTATAAATATTTCTTGCCACATTGAGACACCTTACACAGGTTTAACCTTAAGTGTCTCATTATTTGTGGAAATACCGATTTTGGTTTCATAAATTTGATCTTTTATAGTATAAAGATATTTAGACTTAGGGAGTGTGTGTAATTTTGATCCATGTGTACATTGGAATGTATACTATTCAAATGGAGGCTGTTTTACACAAATCTGTCAGGATGCAAGCTTCTCATGCTGTCCTCACTGAAATAAGTCTGCTTGCTTTCAGTTGATTCTTGCAAAAGCTTAATCTGGATAAATAATTTTACTCTATAAATGAAAACTTATGAGTTAATTGTAAGTTATGCTTACTAAATTATAAATCCTGATAAAAACTAAAGAGTTTTGTTGATTTATGTACTACAAACTCTGGTAATATTAGAGTACAATAATAATACAATACGACCTGTCCAGGGTGTACCCGGCTTCTCACCTGTAGACAGCTGAAGATAGGCATTAGCACCCCTCGCGACCCCACTTGGAATTAAGCGTGCCAGAAAATGGATGGATGGATGAATAATACAATGATAATAATACAATAACAATATGGTATATAGATGTCTCTTATTTTGTCCAAAGTCAATGTCTTAGTTCCTTATTTTCATTTACCTATATGCTTTTATCAGTGTATGGTTGAGTACAAAAAAGAAAATATCAGAATCAATATTATTGGCTGGGTTTGTGTGTTTACAAAAGATTAGATTAGATTAGATTCAACTTTATTGTCATTACACAGGTACAGGTACAAGGCAACGAAATACAGTCTAGGTCTAACCAGAAGTGCAATAGCAGCAAGTGCAGGATAAATAATGGTTCCATAAATACAGGACATGGGTTTCTACTGAATAAGTATAGAGATGAATACCATTATAAACAGAATCTTAGTAATAGATTTGTCCTATGAATATAATATATAGATAACTAGTGTTATGAACTAAATTTACAGCTGGATATGTACTAAATAAAATATACAGGTGGATATCACTATAAATAGGGTTTTTACAGTTATGTACAATAGCATAATATACAGATGGATTTTACTGTAAAATTAATAAATAAAGTTTGGACAGAAGCTGTCTAAATTAAAGTGCAGTGGAAGGTTATTGCATATTACAGGTAAAGTACGTTATTGCAAATGTATATGTAAACAATTGGTACTGTGAATAAACAGTCGGCAGTGCAAATATAAACAGTCGGCAGTGCAAATCAATTATCAGTCAAGGTGAGTAGTGCAAGATGCATGTAAAGAGTTGTTACATAGTAACAGTCAGGAATTGCAGGTGAAACGCCTGCCGGAGGGTAGGAGATAAAACAGTATGTGGGCTGGGTGAGATGAGTCCTTAAGAATGCTGCGGGCTCGATGTAGGCAGCGTTTCTTCTGGATGTGCTCAATGGTGGGTAGTGAGGTTCCAGTGATGGGCTGGACGGCTTTCACCACCCGCTGCAGTGCCTTGCACTCTGCAACAGAACAGCTTTCTTACCACACTGTTGCACAGTTGGTCAGGATGCTTTCTATTGCACAGCGATAGAAGTTCACCAGGATAGTTGAGGGGAGCTGATTCTTCCTCAGTGTTCTCAGGAAGAAGAGGTGCTGGTGAGCCTTCTTGACCAGGCAGGAGGTGTTGGTTGACTAAGACATGTCCGCTGAGATTTGAGTCCCCACAAACTAGAAACTGGAGACACGTTCAACAGCTATTCCTTTGATGTGGATGGTGTTGTGGGTGCCTGTTGAATCTTTCCTGAAGTCTATGATGAGCTCCTTTGTTTTGGTGGAGCTGGTTATTTTCAGTTCACCGTGTGGCCAAGTGCTTGATCTCCTCCCTATAGGCAGTCTCATTATTGTTGCTGATGAGACCAATCACCGTGGTGTCGTCCGCAAACTTGATGATGGAATTAGATGCGTACACAGGCTTTCAGTCGTGGGTGAAGAGGGAGTAGAGAAACGGGCTTAGCACACAGCACAGTGTTGAGCGTGATGGACGTGGAGCAGTTGGAGCCTGATCAGACATTCTGGAATCTGTTGGTCAGAAAGTCCAGAATCCAGATGAATCAGAATTCAGTTTTACATCATTTGCATTAGGGTCACAGTTTAAACAACCACAATATTTATAAACAAGACCTAAAATGCAACAAAAGGTAACATATAGTGGTAAAATGAACAACTGTGCATATGCATTGAATTATTTTGTGAGTAAATAAAAGAGGGTATGTAGACTGTAATTGTGCAAAAGGAGTTAAGTGTTCTAACAGAGTGTCTTACTTGCCTCACTGTGGGGCTTTTATTGAGTTGAACAGAGAGACAGGCTGGGGGAAGAAACTATCTCTGTGTAGGTTTATTTTGTTTTATTTTAGCACTCTGTAGAACTGATCTAAGAGTCTGAACAGCCAGGATGTGTGGGGTCAACAGAGATGTTTGTTGCTTGTGTTTTGGCTTTTGTCCAGTTTAGTGATGGGGAGCAGGAATCCTTCTCCAAACGGCCAGAACTTGATTAGTTTCCAATGACCGGTTTAGGGCACAAACCTTCAGGTTCCAGACCCATTTCCAGCACTGAATGTAGTGTTTGACAGAGGTTACTCCAATGTCCTGCTCGTCAGATGGTAACAGGGGAGGTTGGTGTCCTAGAGCAGATACCAATTCCTTCTTCATAGCAGAAGATTTTGACAATTATGTGCATATTCGACCCAAGGCAACTGAGTACTCCATGATGATGGGTGTGAGAAACAGAGGCAGCGGAGGGATGCCTCAACCCCCTGGTTCATGCCTTATGATTGACCATTAGTTTGGGGATGAAAACCTGAACTGAGAGCAGCCTTTACCCCCAAAGAAGTACAAAATTCCTTCCAGACCTGGGACATAAATTGAGGTCCATTTTCTGACAGGACTTCACAAGGGATTCCATGAAGGTGAAAAACATTTAAAGCTACAGGGTTCCAGGCTGAAGAGTCTGCTAGAGTTCGAATCTCCATGGCAAAATGAAACTGGCTGGTTACTGTGTTTTGAATTCCACATCTTAATGGAAATGTCAGAAGCTGACTCAGTATATCTGGATGACTGTTTGAACTAAGCAAACCTGGTTAAAGGAAATTTTGAATTTGGCCACTGCATGGCTTAATCTCTCAATATCTGACCACAAATGAGATTTTATCCCTATCAAATAAAAGGTAGACCCCAGGGGAGTGGTTCTTTAAGCAACTCATCGAATATTTCTATAAACTACTCCCTCTGCTGATTTGAACGTCTCTGCTGTGCAGCAAAAGAGTGGATTAACTAATGGTGGTGATAAAGTTATTCACGTTAAGTGTAATGACCCAAGGGAGATTCTGCTTGGTCAGACTTGCCAGATGATTCTGCAATGTTGGTTTTTATTTTTTTGACCCACATGCAGAATCACAAGGAGAAACAGTGAATTTTGACTGTTTATTTACAAAATGCTGATGAAGGTTCTCAGTCATCCAGGTCAAAGTCATTCCGTAAAAATTCAAAAAATATCCACTGGACTTGGTTTTCAAGATTTGAAGACGTTTCGCCACCTCTCCAGGAAGCTTTCTCAATTCAAATGTCTGGATCCGCAGTGAGTTTGAGTCTTATATAGACAACGCCTTGTATCGCTTGGAAACAAGCAATGGTAACCGATGAATGGGTCGTTAGTTCCATCGTTAGCCTGTAATATCTGAACCTGTCTATGATTCTAGGGGTCGGTCGTTAAAAGGGGGATTGCCATTAAGGGGGGGGGATTGTCTCCTGTAATACCTGAAACCTGTCTATGATTGTTAAGGGTTGGTCGTTAAGGAGGTATTGTTCACCGGCTGGGGGGGGTAGGCCCCTTGTTCCTCTGTGATGGGGTGGCGGGTTTGGTGATATCTGGAAGGGATCATGTCTATGATTGAATTGTATGTTTTTGGAAGCTGGAATCTGAGTCCACCACCTCTGTTTAAAGTTGGTTTTTCTCTCTTAACATAGATGGCTTCCTTCACGCCCCTCTCAAACCACCTATTTTCTTTATCCAGAATATGGACATTCTGGTCCTCAAAAGAATGTCCTTTGTCCACAAGGTGTAGGTGTACTGCGGAGTCTTGTCCAGAGGCGGCCGCTCTTCTGTGTTGGGCCATGCGTCTGTGGAGAGGTTGTTTTGTTTCGCCAATATAAAGATCAGAGCATTCCTCGCTGCACTGAACAGCATATACCATGTGTGAGTGTGAGTAGGAAAACCTACTCACACAGACCAGTATCTTCTTTTTGACTCACACCACCCACTGGAACACAAACTCTCAGTCATCAGGACCTTACAACACCGGGCAGAACATGTCCCTACTAAAACAGATGGGAAGCAAAAAGAACAGAAACACATCAAAGATGCTCTCCGAAACTGTGGATATCCAAACTGGGCTTTTATCAAATCAGCAAGGAAATCCAAAAGACACGCAACAGAAGACAGCGATGGGAAAATTAAACGCAAAAACATCACAATCCCTTATGTTGCTGGAGTGTCTGAAAAGCTCAAGAGGATTTTCTCCAAACACAAGATCCCAGTACATTTCAAGCCAAACCAAACCCTTAAACAGAGGCTAGTGCATCCTAAAGATAAAACCCCCAGACCGAATATGAGCGGAGTGGTATATGCTGTTCAGTGCAGCGAGGTATGCTCTGATCTTTATATTGGCGAAACAAAACAACCTCTCCACAGACGCATGGCCCAACACAGAAGAGCGGCCGCCTCTGGACAAGACTCCGCAGTACACCTACACCTTGTGGACAAAGGACATTCTTTTGAGGACCAGAATGTCCATATTCTGGATAAAGAAAATAGGTGGTTTGAGAGGGGCGTGAAGGAAGCCATCTATGTTAAGAGAGAAAAACCAACTTTAAACAGAGGTGGTGGACTCAGATTCCAGCTTCCAAAAACATACAATTCAATCATAGACATGATCCCTTCCAGATATCACCAAACCCGCCACCCCATCACAGAGGAACAAGGGGCCTACCCGCCCCAGCCGGTGAACAATACCTCCTTAACGACCAACCCTTAACAATCATAGACAGGTTTCAGGTATTACAGGAGACAATCCCCCCCCCTTAATGGCAATCCCCCTTTTAACGACCGACCCCTAGAATCATAGACAGGTTCAGATATTACAGGCTAACGATGGAACTAACGACCCATTCATCGGTTACCATTGCTTGTTTCCAAGCGATACAAGGCGTTGTCTATATAAGACTCAAACTCACTGCGGATCCAGACATTTGAATTGAGAAAGCTTCCTGGAGAGGTGGCGAAACGTCTTCAAATCTTGAAAACCAAGTCCAGTGGATATTTTTTGAATTTTTACGGAATTTATTTACAAAAGCAGCTAGAATCTGGAAACAGAACTGCGCAAAGTCAGTCGAACTTTATAGTTGGTCTGATCAGGAAGGAGTTGGTTGATGAAAACTGATGACTGATTGTAACCTGATTTGCTTAATCAAGGGGGGAAGGGGGGTGGGGAATGGATCTATAGGTGTTTGATTCTGGGGACTTTGCATATCTGTGTCAACTGCGACACACACGCAGACAACCTGGTTATTGGGCATAAATCATGCTTGAGGTGTTCAGCAGCACAGGCAAAAGCAAAGAGCCTCTCTTTAACAAGAAAGTTCACTCATACCAGAAAAACATATAAGTTTAAATAAATTTGCTGATGTTGTGGTTACAGCGGAATTGATGTGTTATGCAATTAGAAGAGTTTTAAATTCTCAATGTTGGCTATTTATTAATCTGTAAGGAACAGGTGTATTTTATAAATAGCATATTTATTTATCAGGATTAAGATATGGTCATTTGGACACTTTCAATTTGAAAATAAATCCCAAATGCAGCCAACTGTCTAAATAATATATGTTTTTACAAGCTTCATTATAGGCTACACTGAAATCCATGTAATTCCTCAGACTAACACAAAAATCTGTGTAAATTTATGACCACATTACAGTTCAGGTCCTGTGATGGACTGGAGACTACTGGAGGGGGTTCCCTTCCTTTTACCAATGGCATATACTGATAAACATCAGCTAGGATGGATGGATGGATGGATGGATAACAGTGTGGATGTTCCTTTGTTTGAGAATATTGACAAATAAAATACAGTTCAGCTTTTCTCTCAAAAACATTGAACCTGCTTTTCTCTCAAAAACATTGAACCGATATCAAAAGGATATCACTTTATACTCTACTATCACAGCAACTCTTTAAGATTCTTTGGAGGGAAATTTTTAAAAACCTGTAATTTGTGGTTTTATGCTAATACAAGCTGTGGTAATTATGAATTCAATGCATTAAACCATCTGCTTCAGATGCCTTTGTGAGATACAGATCCAGTCAGATTGCACTGCAATTACTCATGACTAATGCTGCATCAGTCTTTATATTAAAACTTCAAAAACACTATTGTTAATAACTGCCTTCTCTCCCTGATTAAAAAACGTGGGATGTGCTTTGGAGTGGCTTCATTTGATTTTATCAGATTGTCTGAATACATCAATGGGGAGCGATAAAAGTTTCATCTGGTTTCCAGTGGATCAAGAGGCCTAAAAACATGACAAACATCCTAACAGTGCCAATAGAACAAATACGTATCCTTCAGATAGTGAATTTACAGTAGCATGAAACATTTTAATATTATTGAAATTTGTCATTAAAAAGGTTGTATTAATATGCAATAAAACAGTGTAACAGACTGTTCTGTGTCTGTATGGAAAAGAAGGTGTGTCCTTCCCTATTGCCGGAGAGCAAGAGTTCGCTGGGTTTATGGCAGGGGGAGTACGTGAGTTTTTGGTTGTGTGTTGTAAGAGAAAAAGAATAAAGAGAACCGGAAGTGGGGTTACCGCTGAGCACTCCGGTCCGTCTCCTGTCCGGTTGTTGCTTACAAACTTCATATTTACGAGCCCAAAACGTTCGGTTACAACAGCAAAGCATGGTGAAGAACTCTGGAGTAAAAGTTAAATATTGCATGCCTTAAAGGTCAAACATAACCCTGGAAATGTGATTTCTTCATTTAGTATATAATTTTACACTTGAAGGATTACTAGTAATTCTGTACCAAGGTTCATCTATTTAAAGTATAGCTGTATTTTAATCCATCCTGCGTTTTTCACCCATGGGTTCTTCCATCTTGACATCCTCTGCACTTTCCACAAGAATATTGTCAATTGAGATATACCAAGTACATATGGCCTTGATACGAACCTTTAAGGCAATGATTGCAAGCAATACAGTTACAAAATAACTTATGCAAGGCAAAAGTCCTTTTACCTTATTCCTGACCAATCGAGGGATGTGAGCGTGCAAGAACATGTAGCTGCACTCGTCTGTGACTTCCAGGTTCTGGTTCAGAGCTCACGGACTGATTATAGTCTACTATCACAATGCTACATAAACGTTATTATGTTGCATGTGTCAAATATGATTACTACTACAAAAACGACACGTTTTATATGAAAATGGTTATATACTTTAGTTTGAATTTAAAATTCATAACAGTTAAAACATGTCAAGTATAATGTAATATATATCCCACACAGAGACAGCTAAGTTGGTCAAGAGCTGATATAAAGATGAAGGCAGCTAGATAGATGCTAATCCTGGGAGAAAAACTGCTTTAGCAACCCCTGTATTTGGATTTTCTTCTTGTTGCAATGCAGTCTGGCCATTTTTCTTGTTGTATTGACAAAATGAGACAAAGCAACACCTTTGCAAAACACATATTAATTTGATTTGTAAGTAAAGGTTCAACACATTCTTTGTGTTTAAGTTTTTTTTTACACATTGTTCTTTGCTCTTTGAAATGAATAAATGTGTTTGATGAGTCCAAATTAAGGAGGGAAAATATGATGACTGTTATAATTGCTCATCTTCCTTAGGTTCACGTTTTTGACCTTAGTATCAGCACAGAAGAGGCCATCCACCAGCAGCAAGTGATGGAAAAGGAGACCAAGCCGACACGCATTGAGTTTAATCCCATCCATCCCATGATTATCGTGGGTGATGACAAAGGGAATGTTGCCAGCCTCAAAATCATCCCAAATCCCCACGAGAAGCCTAAGGTGAGTATAATCGAATCTCCTTATTTGCTCCAACAGTCCTGTATCTGAATATGAGCGATGAAATGGTAAAACTATGGTTGCATCTTTAAGTTAGCACTCCTACTCCTTTATTTCTCTGGTTACACATTCGTGGGGTATACCAAAATACTTTTAATAATACTATGAGTATTATTAGTTTTTCACTTTTACCTTTTAAAATATAATTTGTTTAAAAAGTCTGGGTGTATTACTGCAAATGTCATTGTATAAGATGATGATTAAAGTAAGTAAACCAGTATATTGTTTTGGCTGTGATGACGAGGAGCATCAGTTTCAATAAGGAAAGAAATTTTGAAAAATTAAGAACGAATCAGACGGATAAAACAGACCATCCTAAAAATTATGAACCTGTTGCTAACACATTTGTTTACCATGTTTCATGAGGGAGCAGTTAGCCAGCAGATCTAAATTACTCATGTTTTCCTCTGCATGTTGTGAGGAAATGGTACAATATTAAACCCAATGTGAAGCTACCAACCACTTGGTGCTCTGCTGATGTTAAAAGTCCCTTCATTTGCATATACAGCTATCAGCAAAGCCTCTAATACTTTGATAGACAGTGAAAATACTGCTCATCATTAGCATTGTGACTGATTCATGGTTGTTTCAACAATACTTTTTAAACAAAAATATTGAAACTAAACTATTTTACCCCTAATTTTGAATTTATTTCACTTTCTTAATATCTGTCACCACATTTCAAAGATATCTGAATTGATGTTTTTCTCGATTTTTGGGAATAATACCAATCAAAATAAATTACAGAAAAAACATTTTGTCAGTGCTTAGCTGAAAAAAAGTGCTTCTTTAATCCATTTCTGCTAGATGAGTCCCTGAACGGGCACTATGAAAACAAACAATTAAAGCAGATTTACTTCTGTTACTCTTATCTCCCTTAAACTCACTGGAAAGATCAGTTTGAGTTTTTTAATGAGATCTGACGATGAGCACAAGCAACAGAGGTTAGGTTTTCACTTGTAGGTTGTTTTTTTTTTTTTTAAGGAAGTTTTTAAAGCCTCTTTACTTTAGTTTGTGGCATTAGAAATTTCAGGCCTTTTATATAAATACAGCTCTTATTTGCCTCATAATTTACCACATAGATTTGAAGATATATAACGAGATATATTCTGTGTTTAAGCAAAGGATTAAGATGTTACTGTAGGTTTAATCTTTCCTGAATATGTTTTGTCTCCTAAGATTTGTATTAAATGGTGCTGTTAACCTTAGTTGACTTAAAATCGATGTCACGTTCAGTATAGTTAAACCCTGTAGCTGTAAAGGAGCTTTGATTGGCCTGTTAAACATTCTCTGGTACTAAGATCACTAACAGCAGTGCAGAAGTAAAGCTGAGCCATATAGATCTGCTCCTCACAGTGATGCCCTAAAGGCAGAAACTAACCTTGCAGCACATTTCAAATAATTAATTGAAAGGACTTGTTGTACGGTTCTAACATATCTATTATTACATGACTCATAAAAATATATACTGCAAACAATATTTATTGCATTTTAATCTTGTTTTTTTTCGACATATTTTACTGTGTCTTTACAGTATTTGTAAAAAGTGAGTCCACTCCTTACGCTTTTGTAGAAATTAGCTTTTTTGGTGGGGTAACACTGAAAATGTTTAATGAAGTCGAAGTACAGCTTGCAATATAAATTTGCTGTCCTCTTAAAATAGCACAACACAGCTATTAAAATGTAAACCATGCATCAAAAGATACATCCCTTAGTGAAAATGTGTGAACGGTGCTCAATAAGACATATTGCCTCCATGGTCATGTGACTCATTAGTCTCACAAAGACTCAGGTGTTTTAACTTTGTTATTATTAGGCTGAATACCAAACAACCCCCTAAGCTAGTGGGTAGGGTGAGTGCACAGTCCAGCCCTTAAATAGCGAATCTACATCAGTGCAGGCTCGCTGGAATTTGACAGCAGGCGTAACAGCGAACTAGTAGCGGAGGAAACACAAGCATTCAAATACAGTTTTGCTGGTTTGTTGCATCTTCATCACACTGACAGAACATCACAACTTAGGAAAAAGAAAAAAGACGTGATTAATCCCTAAATGGAAGGTGCCCTTTAAAATTGGATAGATTTATTTCTAAGAACAATTTTTGATCTTACGATAACCTGCGTCAGAGAGCCACAGCGACGCATGCGGCGTCACTACGTTGCCATAGAAACAACTGCTTTCCCTTTTGTCGGAGGGAAGAGGCCATCCTATTCACGTTTATATGCCCCACGTACAATCCAGGCACCTTCCACAGCTGTGAGAGTGACTTTATTGCAAGTAACACTTGATAGTTAAGGGTTGCAAAATACAAGTTTAGCAAGGCGGTGAAAGAGGCTAAACGACTGTACTCTGAGAAGCTGCAAAACCATCTTTCTGCCAACGACTCTGCCTCTGTCTGGAAAGGGCTTAGGCCCCGTCCACACGAGGTCAAAACGAACACGAAACGCTGATATTTTCCAAAACGTTTGCCGTAAAGACGGAGACATAAAATAAATGTGAGCGTCCACACGAATGCATGAAAACGCTGCAAAATGTATGCCAGGCCTGTAAGTGGCGCTGTGGTGCCAAAGCAAAAATAAGCGACGAAATGTTGGGCATGCGCACTAATATTTATACATGGTTGCCCTGCGGGTCCATTTTCGTGGTTCAGTCAAATTCAGGTGCTGAACTATGTCGTCGATATTGCTCTGTTCTTCCTGGAGATATTCCAGAAGAAGAAGATTCTGTTGTAAGCCCGACAGCAGGGTGAGTAGCATTAGCAGCAACGGCGCCATTGTTGTTGTGATACTGTGTCGCGCATGCGTGTTTAGAGGCGACGCTATGACGCATGCGTGTAAAAAAAAAAAATGCGGTTAGAGCGTAAAGATGGAAAGGCGAAAACGGCGTTTCGAAATCTTCCCACTCTGAAGGCTGAATAAAAAAAAGATCGTTTACAGACCCCCGAAACGCCGGCTTCGTGTGGATGAGAGGCTGGTTTGGTTAAAAATTTGTGCGTTTAGGCCAGGGTTCGTCTTCGTGTGGACGGGGCCTTAGGCAGATAACAAACTACAAGCCCAAAGCCCCCCACTCCATGAACGACCGACAGTTAGCCAACGACATGAACAACTTCTACTGTCGTTTCGACAGACAAAGGGACAGTCATGCATCCACCCCCCACAACACCACCCAACAGATCACCTCCACCTCCTCCTCAGTGACAACTCTTTCCATAAAAGAGAGAGATGTAAACAAAATCTTCAAAAAACAGAACCCCCGGAAAGCTGCTGGACCAGATTCTGTCACTCCATACACTTTGAAGCTCTGTGCTGACCAGCTGTCTCCAGTGTTCACAGACCTTTTTAACACCTCACTGGCGACATGTCACGTGCCAGCCTGTTTTAAATCCTCCACCATCATCCCTGTCCCCAAGAAGCCAAGGACCACAGGACTTAATGACTTTAGACCCGTCGCCCTGACCTCTGTGGTCATGAATTCCTTTGAGCGTCTTGTGCTGTCACACCTGAAAGCAATCACGGACCCCCTCCCGGACCCCTTTCAGTTTGCCTACAGAACCAACAGGTCTGTAGATGACGCTGTCAACCTGGCCCTTCACCACATTCTCTAGCACCTGGACTCCGCAGGAACCTACGCCAGGATCCTGTTTGTGGACTTCAGCTCGGCCTTCAACACAATCATCCCAGCTCTGCTCCAGGAGAAGCTCTCCCAGCTGAATGTGCCTGACTCCCCCTGCAGGTGGATCACAGACTTCCTGTCGGACAGGAAGCAGCACGTAAAGCTGGGAACACAGTTCTCTGACTCACAGCTCATCAGCACTGGTTCCCCCCAGGGCTGTGTTCTTTCTCCTCTGCTCTTCTCCCTGTACACCAACAGCTGCACCTCCAGTCATCAGTCTGTCAAGCTCCTGAAGTTCGCAGACGACACCACTCTCATCGGACTGATCTCCGATGGTGACGAGTCCGCCTACAGGTGGGAGGCTGACCAGGCTGACCTGGTGCAGGGAGAACAACCTGGAGCTCAACGCTCTAAAAACAGTGAAGTTGGTTGTGGACTTCAGAAAGAGCGCAGCCCCAGCTACCCCCATCACCCTCTGTGACTCCACCATTGACACTGTGGAGTCTTTCCGCTTCCTGGGAACTATCATCTCCCAGGACCTAAAGTGGGAGCTGAACATCGACTCCCTCACCAAGAAAGCCCAGCAGAGGATGTACTTCCTGCGGCAGCTGAAGAAATTCAACCTGCCCAGGACAATGATGGTGCAGTTCTACTCCTCCATCATTGAGTCCATCCTCATTTCCTCCATCACCATCTGGTACGCTGGTGCCACCGCTAAGGACAAGGGCAGACTGCAGCTTGTCATCCGGTCTGCAGAGAAGGTGATTGGCTGCAACCTCCCATCTCTCCAGGAGCTGCACGCCTCCAGGACTCTGAGGCGTGCAGGGAAGATTGTGGCTGATCCCTCAAACCCCAGTCACAAACTATTTCAGTCACTACCCTCTGGCAGGAGGCTGCGGTCCATCAGGACCAGAACCTCCCGTCATAAAAACAGTTTTTTCCCATCTGCTATCAGCTTTATCAACAAGGCCAAGACCCGTCCGTGACACTGGACAATGTTTCTCTCCCCCATTCAGGATTTCTGCGTTACATTAACGCACAGTCTACTGTTTGTATATAGCTTCTGTATATATATATATATATTTATATATATTCTATCTTATTTTGTTTTTTTGTGTTGTTTTGTTTTTTTTGTCTGCACCAACAACACCAAGTCAAATTCCTTGTAAGTGCAAACCTACTTGGCAATAAACTTGATTCTGATTCTGGGATTAGTGTTTAGGGAGTGGTTTGGGATTCATTATTAATCTCCCATTCTCATTGTGGTCACTGAGTGTTCAACATGGGACCAAAAGAACTTTGTGAGGGTCTGAGAAGATCCCAAAGCTGCCATTTTCAATGTTTCCCCAGAAAAAGTTATCAAATATTGTATATAGTTAGTGTTAATGAAGTGAATGTTAATTACTTTTGTCTTTCTTTGTGTGTATGTATGTTCAGGTGAAGAAGGACCAGGAGTTTGCCAACGGTCCAGAAGCAGAAGTAGCAAAGCTGGACAAGGTGGTCAACAAACTATTGATATGGCTTGACATATAACGTGATATAGCTTAATACAACTTACTGCAATCATTGCAGTCTTTTATGGATATGTTGGATCCAGGTTTGCACAAATAAAATAAACATGGCAAAAAAGCCTTTTTGTTTTTAAATTATGTAGACTGGAACGGGATTGATGGGAAGAGACGGTGAACATGGAGCGAATGTCAACAGGGTGGGAGTGGAACCCATAACAGCTTACATCAATGACTATAGTTAGTTTGGTCAGTAGCATTGTTCAGTTGGTGCATTTTGAATGGATGCTGGATGCAGAAACCGTCTGTGCTTATTTTCTCACTCTCCTCCTCATTAATCAACTTACATTGGGATTTGTAAGATTTTGGCCAGAAGTGTTTGGGAACGAAACCAGTTGGTAGATTGACCAGATGTCCCAATTTATGAGATACAGTGCTACATTTTTCACTGTGGGCCGACCCAGAGATTGACGCATCGTCTCATTTTTGGCTGAGTCTAATTAGAAAAAAGTAAAAAAAAAAAGAATAAAATCACAGGTGCTCTTCCTAAATGGGAACAAAGCAGAGCTGCAGTCGTCGACATAGAGTTTCTCCATAGGATCACATCACAACCAAGCTCTTAAAATAAAACAGGTAAAGGACTTTTAGACAAATTATGATTGAAAACTGCATTTAAAGAAAACAAAACACAGCAAAGACTGCAGAACGGTTTCTTTAAATAAGTGAGGCCACTGACAAGTGACTCTCAGGGAGCTTTTTGTGAGTTTTGCCAAATGTAGGTCTCGTCCTCTTCCTCCGACGGCTTTTTATAAAATTTTCCTGCAGTTTTCTCCTCCTTTAAAGACGGCAGGAAGTCAGGAGCAAAAGGAAGAGGAGGAGCCATACAGTCTAAATGAAAGGGAGTTATATAAGCAGCTTAAATAAACAGAATCATCAAAGAGCAAAGAAGTAAACAAATGTGAAAATTTAAAGGAAAAAAATTAACAACGTTAATGTGGGTTTAAGGGAAAAAAGTGAAGCTTCTGACCAACGAAAAGAAAGAGAAATCAATTTTGGGTCAGATTTGGTCATGTATGTATGTGCAGAAACAAAATCCAGAGAGCAAAACAAGACCTCTGTTCATCAGCGTTTTTATCGTATGCGTTTAGACGCCTTCCTGTTCGAAGAGTCACAAAGAGCCAGGCATGCCAGACATAAAAACAACATACCTGGAAACCGGTAAGTGTATCCAGGTGCTAATCCAGAGTAACTGTGTAGGTAGTAGTCTGGAAACCTGGATAGCCTGTAAAAAACAAAGGCGATGATCTGCTTGGTCAGTCTCTCATGTAGAAAGATTCACTTTTAATGCAGAAAATGAGCTAGGCACAAAGTATGTTTTATTCAGTTGTAACAATCTATTAACTGCTGATCCAAACAACAGATGCATTTTACAGATAAGTCACTTTTTTTCTGTTATGACCAATATTTTAAAATAATTTGAATCTATAGTGAAACACAAGGTCGGTTATAAAGACGCAGTAATAACAAAAAGCTTTGTGTATAATTTAAATACCAACGCTATTAGGAAGAATTGGAGTTAAATTATAACTGAAGAAACACAAATGGCCAGTAGGGGGAGCAATAAAACCACACAGGAAGAAGCTCTTGCTTTTCTCAATGAAAATATCTTCCAACTATTTTCCTCCAATAAAAACCTTCCTGTCTATGACATTATGTTCAGCGCACATCATAGATGAGACACAAATCACAGCAAAAGCGAAGTAGTTGATTCAAGGCAAACTGGATTTTATTATTTTATTTTATTTTTTCAGTCTATTTAAAGAGAGACTGCTCTATAAATACAAATTCTGGATGGTACTTGTTTAGATCAAAATGAATTATCTTTCCATCTTATTTTAATGTTCTTTGAAATGGAATATATAAGATCCAACAGGTGTAAATGTACCTTGTTCTTTAATCAGTCCTTTAAAGACATTATTGCAATTAATAATTAAAGTGTGTCTAATTAAAGGCCTTTTAATATCAGGCCTCTTCTTGTGAAGTGAAGGATCCTTATGATCTCTAGATATAGTTCTCTGGTTTTGGTCTAAAACAATATTTTTGTATGGTCAAGAATTTTATTCTGAAGTAAGAAAGGAAATGGCTGTTGAGTTATCCTGAAATGTTGAAATAGTTCAAAATGATAACTTAAAAAAAACAGACTGTCACTACCTGACCTGTACTTATCTGAACCATCAGCTCAATAATGCAACCAAAAAATACACTTGGGTCACCATCAACTGAGCTTAATGATGATAACGTCACACCAGCAACATAACATCAAGAAGGTAAATGCTTCAATTCTCTTAGGAAAAGTTATTAGTAATAATTTATACTATTTAGTATACTTTAATCCTTTAAGGATATAAATAAGTACTTTTGTTTACGTAGTGACATTATTTAATGGCGACCTGTTGTACATGCTTATATGAGCTAAAGGTACAGATTGTGTTTCCAGCACAGATCAGTAGTGATACAGACATTCTGATGCGAATGCTAAAGAATAGGGGTGCCTCGATACAACTATTTAATTTCCGACACGATACCATTGGCTGATGCAGATAATGCCCCGATACAATATCAACATAAATCAAACATGCTCTTATGATTTATTTGATACTGTTGGGTTTTAAAAAATGTTTGATCGATTGATGTTAGTAAAACTGAGAACTAAAATCAACAATGATAGGTGGGAGAAAAACTGACCCATGTAAAATTAACCGAGGTTTTAGATGCAAGCCAATATAACCGATATTAGTTTTTAGTTAATATCAAACCGATATCAGATATTATAATCGGATCAGGACATCCCTACTAAAAATGCTCCATCACTTCGAATGTCTTTGCTTGAAAATTTGAGTGTAAAAGAGCTTTTATTGTGCATTGGATCGTCTCTAGTTAAAATATAATACAGAACAACTGCCGCAATGAGAAAGCACTGTGTGCAGTTTCTAAAGAGCCTTGGTAGGATTTAACATCTCAATTTATTAATCCACAAATAAGATACAGAGATCCTAAACATTTGCTTAGGAACTTCTAATGTCCCCTAATATTAAAGTCCTTCCTGGATCTGAAAAGATTTGATCATATCAATTCAGACATTTTTAACCAATTGCTTAAAACAGTTGTTTTAAACATTAATAGAATATTAGCTAACAGTCACTGCTGATCCTAAAGTTAGCATGCTTCCCAACATCTTTAAAATATTGTTTTTCAATGTTTTTTTTTTTGTCCATTTTTTATATGGGGGGCACAAGCAAAGCAAAACAAAAATATTAACGTACAAAACAAAAGTGGACTGAAACTTTTAAACTTTTGACAAATGAAAAACATTTTTAGTACTCAGTTTGTTGAAAAAAGTTTGAAGTCTGAAAACATAAATGGTTAATTTTCACATTTCAAAATATTGCAAAAACCATCCATGTTCTGATATACTATGAAAAACATGCAGATGACAGGAACTGTTTTCCAAGCTTTTTTTAAAAAAATTTTTTAACCAGTTTTAAAAAGCATATTTAAAAGCTAATTTCTACCAAAAACTTGCCATTTTCAAAGCTCCTCTTCAAAAACAGTTTGTTTTCTTCATAATTAGTAAAGGGCCTTACCTGACATGCCAATGCCCAACATGAATGTATCCCATAAGGCATCACTCTGGAGCGTCCCCTAGCAGTGCCTGTTGGTGTCATCACTTCTTTGGGCTGGGCTTTCTTACACTCCACCTAAACCAAAATAAAAAATATTAAAGTATACCAAAGATGTAAGAAGCTACTGGTTCAAAGTAAAATTTGACACCATACTACAAATGAAAGCCTTTTTTCGAAGTCCTAGGGTGAGCCTCTCCCACCTCTTTGTACTCACTACTGGTCAGTAGGCTTAAAGAGTGCCACCATGACTTTACATTCAGTTAAAACAGTGATAGATTAGCTGTTTGGAAGTATTTGTAGTCGGGGGAGGGGGGGGGGATATATGCAGAAAAATATGTAGGCAGAAAGCATGCATAATTAACACGTAACAGATGAACACTAAGCACAATTTACACTAGAAGACTACACAGACAGAATTTTATATATATATATTAGGGTTGTCAAAAGTATCGAAACTCAAAAAAGTATCGATACTGAAATGTTGTATCCGGATACAATACTCGTTTTTAAAAGTATCGATACAGTGCCGTCACCAGTGGCACCTAAGCAGTCATTCATCTAAAGTGCAGAATAGAGGACAATGCACTTTCAGAACACTGTGTGATTGAATAATTCTGTGCTCTTTTCAGTTTCAGACTTTTTTTTTGTAAGAAGTGCAGCTGCTGAGAATTATTTTTGTTTCTTAACCGGTTTGGCTAGTGTCACTGTTATGTGTGCAAAGCATAGCCAATGAAGGAACACTTAATTTGAATTTTATACGTTTTTTATCAAGCTTGCTTTATATTATGCACAGCATACAACCTTTATTGTGTTTATTTATTATATTTTATTTATTAATGAAAATATTTCTGTAGACTTTTGGAGTCTGTTTTTATCCTTGTGGTATCGAAAATGGTATCGAGTATCGAATATTTTCCTTAGTATCGGTATCGAGTTGAAAAGTTTAGTATCGTGACAACCCTAATATATATATATATATATATATATATATATATATATATATATATATATATATATATATATATATATATATATATATATATATATATATATATATATACTTTTTCCACAAGCACAATATAATCATTTTAACTTCTCATTTGATGAGATAATCCATTCCATCTCACAGGTTTTGCCATATCAAGATGCTGATTAAAACCTTTAGTGCACAGGTGTGCCTTAGACTGCCCACAATAAAAGGCCACTCTGAAAGGTACAGTTTTGTTTTATTGGGGTCTGGGGACTCAGAAAATCAGTCAGTATCTGGTGTGACGACCAATTGCTGCATGCAATGCGACACATCTCCTTTGCATAGAGTTGATCAGGTCTTCAGTTGTGGCCTGTGAAATGTTGATCCCTTCCTCCAGTTCAGGTTTTGTTCCCCCTGTCAACCAAAAGACCTCGCATAGGAATGTGAGGCTCTCTC